TGAAACCATGTTGTCCTTGGTTATGGAGATGCTGTGATTCCATGTATTTTGTGATCTTACTTCTTAGCACTCTCTCAAAAAATTTTATGATGTGCGATGTTAGTGCTATCGGTCTGTAATTTTTTGCCTCTGCCTTATTTCCTCCTTTATGGAGTGGTGCTATCTCTGCTGTTTTTAGTATGTCAGGGATAACGCCAATATCTAGGCTTTGTCTCCACAGAATGTGGAGGGCCTGCGATAGTGGTTTTTACCCATACAGTTCACATGAATGGCATATAGACACAATACAAACGATAAGCATATTAACGAACATTCTGAGCGATAAACATTTCTTTGCAATCGGGTTCACGCGTCCTGGTCCCCCAGTCGGGTTCACCCGTGCTGGTCCCCCAGTCGGGATCGCGCGTCCTGGTCCCCCAGTCGGGTTCACCCGTCCTGGTCCCCCAGTCGGGATCACGCGTCCTGGTCCCCCAGTCGGGATCGCGCGTCCTGGTCCGCCAGTCGGGTTCACCCGTCCTGGTCCGCCAGTCGGGATCACGCGTCCTGGTCCCCCAGTCGGGTTCACCCGTCCTGGTCCCCCAGTCGGGGTCACCCGTCCTGGTCCCCCAGTCGGGATCACGCGTCCTGGTCCCCCAGTCGGGGTCACCCGTCCTGGTCCCCCAGTCGGGTTCACCCGTCCTGGTCCCCCAGTCGGGATCACGCGTCCTGGTCCGCCAGTCGGGTTCACCCGTCCTGGTCCGCCAGTCGGGTCCAGCAACCGCTCAAGCAATCTTTCTCAACACGTCGCTTCTGGGGGAAAAAACAAAAAACAAAAGAGTAGTGAAAACGTGAGGACAAGGGTGCGGGAGGCGGGAAATAACAACTCTCGTCTGTTGTAAGGGTGTTAAGTATCCCTCCGAGGAATGTCATATTGTTTTTTATTGTTTTTTACAGAGTATTAGATTTTTGAAAGTGTATATGGAATTTGTGTGAAATTTGGTGAACGTAATCGTGCTTTTAGCTTCAAACTTTGAGACGGGTGTATGGTGGTGCCGGAAGGGTTCCTCACCACCGTTATTACCACCACCACCACCGTTATTACCACCACCACCACCGTTATTACCACCACCACCACCGTTATTACCACCACCACCACCGTTATTACCACCACCACCACCGTTATTACCACCACCACCACCACCGTTATTACCACCACCACCATTATTACCACCACCACCACCGTTATTACCACCACCACCACCGTTATTACCACCACCACCATTATTACCACCACCACCACCGTTATTACCACCACCACCACCGTTATTACCACCACCACCACCACCCGCGTTATTACAACCACCGGTGGTGTGGAGCAGGAGGGGGTGATGGTGCTGTGGAGCAGGAGGGGTGGTGGTAGTGGGGAGCAGGAGGGGGTGGTGGTGTGGAGCAGGAGGGGGTGGTTTGGAGCAGGAGGGGGTGGTGGTGTGGAGCAGGAGGGGGGTGGTGGTGTGGAGCAGGAGGGGGGTGGTGTGGAGCAGGAGGGGGTGGTGGTGTGGAGCAGGAGGGGGGTGGTGGTGTGGAGCAGGAGGGGGTGGTGGTGTGGAGCAGGAGGGGGGGGTGGTGTGGAGCAGGAGGGGGTGGTGGTGTGGAGCAGGAGGGGGTGGTGGTGTGGAGCAGGAGGGGGGTGGTGGTGTGGAGCAGGAGGGGGGTGGTGTGGAGCAGGAGGGGGTGGTGGTGTGGAGCAGGAGGGGGTGGGTGGCGTGGAGCAGGAGGGGTGGTGGTGTGGAGTAGGAGGGGGGGTGGAGCAGGGGGGGGGGGGTGTGGGCAGGAGGTGGGGTGGAGCAGGAGGGGTGGTGGTGTGGAGCAGGAGGGGGGTGGTGGTGTGGAGCAGGAGGGGGTGGTGGTGTGGAGCAGGAGGGGGAGGTGGTGTGGAGCAGGAGGGGGGGTGGAGCAGGGGGGGGGGGTGTGGAGCAGGAGGAGGGGTGGAGCAGGAGGGGGGGTTGGTGTGGAGCAGGAGGGGGGTGGTGGGGAGCGGCGGCACATTACCAGTCAGCAAGGACGAGGAGTGCCTCTGAGAGCTTCCAAAAATCTAGTTTTCTACAGATTTCTGCTTCGACGTGACGGCTTCTTGTTGCTGTTTCCCGCGCGAATTTTGTCTCGTTCTCTGTCATACTTATTCTGGGGTGAACTGCTGTATTTGTTGTTCGAGTGTGTTACTTGGCTGTATTGCCTTGATTGTTACTCAAGTGTGTTGCAGTGTTCAGGGAGGAGACGGAGGATGTGTTGCTGGGATGGAAGACTGTGGTCACATGTTGCTTCACGTTGGGTAGACGCTAAGAAGTTAATGTTCAACCCGTCCTCACACTTGGCTGGTTAAAGCAGCGGCAGTCCTCCCCAGACGCATTCACAAATTTTAACCTACTGTGTATTAAACATTGGTTTGTTCTCATATATATTAATTAATATTATTTTACATTAAAATTTTATGTATAGTTAGGCGTTTAGGTTCTGTTGGCGATTATTTATATTTGAAGTACGTGGGTGAAGCATTTATAGCAACCTGTCCTCGACTCGTGTCCATTACATCTCAGCCCATCCTCCAGACAAAGACCCAAAAGTGATTCCATCCACCCGCCAAACCCACAGCTGTTTATGAATGAAAAACGGTTTACACACGACTCACGACTGCTTTGCTTCGAACATTTCCGGAACAAGTGCTTCACTGACGAATTTTGTTCGAACCACAACGCTGTAAATGTGAAGCACTTGTTCCGGAAGTGTTCGAACAAAATCAGTTGTGAGTCGTTTGTAAACCGTTTTTCATTCATAAACAGCTGGGGGTTTGGCGGGTGCATGGAATCACTTTTGGATCTTTGTCTGGAGGATGGGCTGCGTGTGTAAACCGCTTTTCATTCATAACCGGAGTTTGGCGGCTGGATTAACGAGCTTGGATCATTGTATGTGAAGACGGGGTGTATTGTTTGTGTGATGTAAAGGTCAGTGTGAGTGGTGGAGACCCGAGCCTGGTGTTTAAGGAGAGTGCCAGGGTGAAGGTCACAGTGCGGCATCATGCTCCCGGAACCCTCCCACATTTTTTGTTTTATTTTATTTATTTACTAGCTGCTCCCAGCCACGCGTTGCTGTGGCTCAGCAACCTTTCCCTGTCTCCCACTCCTCCCCACCATTTCCCCCTCCCTGTCCCCCTCGTCCTCACAACTATTCCGCACTCCCCCATCCCTCTGTCATCCTCACCATCCCCCACTCCACTGTCCTCTCGTCCTCCTACCCATTCCATACTGCACCGTCCCCTCGTCCTCCCCACCATCTCCCACTCCCCAGTCCCCTCATCCTCCTTACCATTCCCCCCTCCCCCATTCCTTCATACTCCCCACAATCCCCCACTCCTCTGTCCCCCTTGTCCTCCCCCACCATTCTCCATTCCCCTGTCCCCAACCCCTTGTCCCCTTTTCCTTCCCACCATTACCCCCTCCCCTGTCCCCTCTTCCTTTCCACTATGCCCCATTCCAATCCCCTCGTCCTCCCCACCATTCCCCACTCCCTCGTCCGATGCATTCCCAAATGATCTGATGTTCCCATCAGAAAATTGGGAACATCAAATGATCTGATGTTCCCATCACTGAAATATAAGAAAAACAGTTAAAAACGAAATGAAAAACAATGAAAAAATTAAAAAGCAATCTATACTCACGAAATGAACGGTATGGTAAACAACACAGCTCAATTCCAATGCAATGTCACACCAAATAATTAAATCAGAATTAAAATAAATCGATTGAAATGGAATCATAACTTATTTAGTATAGCGTGTGTTGCTCTTACGTGCAACAGATGGTGCTGTTAAATAAATCGAAATCTTTAAAAATCAATTTATCAATGCAAACGAAAATATATAAATGGAATCGTAACATATTTAGTATAGCGTGTGTTGCAATTACGTGTAACAGATGGCGCTGTTCTTAAAAAAAGCATGTTTTTACCTGTCACAGGTGTGGCATCTATAAAGTAGGTATATAAAAACACGCGCGAATTCGAATGGAACGTTGTGTCAAAATTTCAAAGCAATCGGTGAAGAACTTTCGGAGATTACAGCGTGTGTTGCTCTTACGTGTAACAGAGGGCGCTGTTTTTAAAAAAAGCATGATTTTTCATGTCACAGGTGAGGCATGTATATACTAGGTATATAAAAACACGCGCCTATTCGAATACAACGTTATGTCAAAATTTCAAAGGAATCGGTAAAGAGGTTTTGAAGATTCCACTCATATGAAAATACATGAAAAACACAGTTTTTCAAGAAAATCATGTTTTTTTACCGTCAAAGACGTGACATCTGTATAGTATGTATATTAAAACCCACTCGAATGCGAATGGAACGTTGTGTGAAAATTTCAAAGCAACCGGTCAAGAACTTTCAGAGATTAACGATTTTGAACAAACGAACATTTCCATTTTTTTATATAGATATATACAAGAGTTGTTACATTCTTGCTCAGCCACTAACACGCATACCTTTCCTTAGTCCTAATATTCCCCGGAATACAACCCGCCAAATCGTTTAACAACCAGGTACCTATTTTACTGTTGGGTAAACAGAGGCTACAGTTAAAGATTGGCGCCAAATAAATCCTCCCCGGCTAAGATACGAACCCAGGACAAAGCGCTCGCGAAACGCCGGCCGAGTGTCTTACCAACTACACCACCGGGGACTGTGGTGTAGTAATGGTGCTCAAGTATTAGTAATACATTACCGCGAGATACTCGGTCAATGTTGATGATCGCCAAGTGTTCTTGTCCGGGTGTCTTCCTTTACTGCTTCTTCAATTTTTTCCTTCTCCTTGGCCACTTGTGCATAGGTGAGTTGAGGGTGTTGGTGTTGGTGACACGTCTTCACGGCAGGGCCCTGCTGCCTGCCAGACACGTCCCTGGCAGACACGTCCCTGGCAGACACGACCCTGGCAGACACGTCCCTGGCAGACACGTCCCTGGCAGACACGTCCATGGCAGACACGTCCCTGCCAGACACGACCCTGGCAGACACGACCCTGGCAGACACGACCCTGGCAGACACGACCCTGGCAGACACGTCCCTGGCAGACATGACCCTGCCAGACACGACCCTGCCAGACACGTCCCTGGCAGACACGTCCCTGGCAGACACGACCCTGGCAGACACGACCCTGGCAGACACGACCCTGGCAGACACGACCCTGGCAGACACGACCCTGGCAGACACGTCCCTGGCAGACACAACCCTGCCAGACACGACCCTGGCAGACACGACCCTGGCAGACACGACCCTGGCAGACACGTCCCTGGCAGACACGTCCCTGGCAGACACGTCCCTGGCAGACACGACCCTGGCAGACACGACCCTGGCAGACACGACCCTGGCAGACACGTCCCTGGCAGACACGGCCCTGGCAGATACGACCCTGGCAGACGCTTTTCACTCAATGTTATCAAAGGTAGTTTTATACTGCTGATGTGTTTTTATTTTTTACGTATTTTGTTTCATCGGTCTAGGTACAATATTGTCCACCATCAACAAAGCGTAAAGGATTATAACTATAATACTCACCAGAATATTGTCAAGCGTGTTAGTGGCTTTGCAAGAATGTAAGAACAATGTTATGTACTCCCACAAACCCAGTTTACCTTCTTGTTTATAAATAAGCATATGCGCGCGAACACGCACGCACGCACTCGGTAGTGATGTGGTGGAGGCAGACTCCATACACAGTTTCAAATGTAGATATGAAAAAGGCGAATAAGCTCGGGAATTTATACACCGGTTGAGTGACAGTTGAGAGGCGGGACCAAAGAGCCAAAGCTCAACCCCTCGCCGGCACAACTAGACAAGTACTCGCACTCATACTTGTTTAGTGGTGGGAGTAACCATTACTATTGTTTAACGAATTTACTAATGTTAATCCTGTGACTAAGCTGAGGTTTTGGTCTTTCACAGATGACTCGCCGTATACTGTGGCTGGAGCGGCTCATTCCAGCCCGGCCTACAAGACGCCTCGCTCACAGCCCAGTCCGGGGGTTAGACCCCAAGCAAGACAGCCCATCACCCCAGGGCGGCAGGAGACGCTGGACCTGGAGGCTCAGAAGCCTTATGGGACAGTTTCGACAAGTGGGTCGTCTCTCCCGCCGCCCGGGAGGGACTCCGCCACGGACGACCTGCAGCGCCCTCAGGTACGCACCTCTCGGCTATTCTGGTGTGTTGCAACCTTGACTTTGTTTAGAATAGATTATTGCAATGGTAAACTTGTTCATTCCGAAGGACATAGGTGAACGAAAGTTGTTGATTGTGGCATCTGTAGATCTATGCAGCAACAATCATAGTGTTGTTGTTGTTTTAGATTTAGCTACTCAGAACGAAATGTCCATGTAGCACGGGCTATGGTGAGCCCATATTTGAGTTCGGTTATTCGCGATAACCTTGTTATTCTGGTATTTGGGTCAAAATATTAAATGGAGGTGGGGTTTCCTCCTTTTTTCCTGTTTCTTTTTCGCTTCTGTTTTAATCTTGTTTTAATAACATTATCTTGGTGGCGGATGTAGGTGCAGAATGTTCACTAGTGAGTCCCATTCTTCAACGGCTTTTCTAATCATTGTAGTCGCTGTGGAATGTGCATCTAATGCAGCTGCTGTCGTTGGATTAATGTTGAGTTTGATGCGCAGGGCTTCAGTAGCTTCACATTCCAGTAAGTAGTGCAATAGTGGCGCCTCTGATTCTGTTCAACAGATATGACATTCTTTAACTATTGGGTTCATTACCTCCCAGCAGCACTTGTAACCAAGTCTAAGTCTGTGTATGGCTACTGCAATGTCTATGGATATCTTTTTGCCAGGCTTGAAAAAGGAGTACCCAGTGGCTTGTTCGTACCATTATCGCAGTGGATCTTCCTTCCGCTACTTTGGCTCTGTGGCGACTTTTGATAGTTGGAAGTATTTTCTTCTTGATTTTCTCCTTAATCTGTGAAAAACTTTGAGGAATTTGAACCTTAACAACAGGTAGAGCAGTGGCAGTTTTTGCTAGTGAGTCTGCCTTTTCATTACCATCTATGCCAATGTGACTTGAATTCCAATTTAGAATGATTGACAGCCCTAGACTATGGGCTTCTTTTCCTATATGTTGGATTTCTGTGAGGAGTTGTATATTATCTCTGTGCTGACTGGATAACAATGCCTGGAGCGAAGATTTAGAGTCGGTATGAATGATGATATCATGTAAATTATTTTCAATTGTATAGTTTATGGCCTCCTTCAGGGCATATAATTCTGTCTCCAATGTTGAGCACCCACTATTCATGTTCCAGTAAGCTTCATGGTTGGTAGTGTAAACTGCTGCCCCAGCAGAACCTCTTTCTTGATCAACTGATCCGTCTGTGAAGATGTGAGTCGATGTAGGTCTTGAGATGGTTTCCGTTTGTTTTATATTATTTTTAAGCTGCTTATGAACCCATCCCTGCCCTTGTGGGGCAGTGCACAATAGAGAGTTGTTTTTACATAATTATACATTAAAACATTAATTGTAACCCATGATATATATGTGCTACAGCCTACAGTTTAGACCTATTGTCTTATGTGTGACAATGAATACCAGCATTATCCTCACTTTAATAATAAGACTTAACTGATACTCAGATTAGGTAAAATTGTAATTAAATATTGTCAATAAAGATGTTAATAATAATAAAGACAATCTTGGTGTCCGCAGAGTGAGGGTGAGGGAGGCGGGAGTGTGGACGACGTGTTGGCAGCCCTGGTCGGCTACTCCCACGACCCCGACCTCTGGCGCTTTGTCCACAGTGTTGTAGGTGAGTTGTCACACTGTGACGTGCAGTGTTGTAGGTGAGTTGGTCACACTGTGACGTGCAGTGTTGTAGGTGAGTTGGTCACACTGTGACGTGCAGTGTTGTAGGTGAGTTGGTCACACTGTGGCGTGCAGTGTTGTAGGTGAGTTGGTCACACTGTGACGTGCAGTGTTGTAGGTGAGTTGGTCACACTGTGACGTGCAGTGTTGTAGGTGAGTTGGTCACACTGTGACGTGCAGTGTTGTAGGTGAGTTGGTCACACTGTGGCGTGCAGTGTTGTAGGTGAGTTGGTCACACTGTGACGTGCAGTGTTGTAGGTGAGTTGGTCACACTGTGACGTGCAGTGTTGTAGGTGAGTTGGTCACACTGTGGCGTGCAGTGTTGTAGGTGAGTTGGTCACACTGTGACGTGCAGTGTTGTAGGTGAGTTGGTCACACTGTGACGAGCAGTGTTGTAGGTGAGGTGGTCACACTGTGGTGTGCAGTGTTGTAGGTGAGTTGGTCACACTGTGACGTGCAGTGTTGTAGGTGAGGTGGTCACACTGTGGTGTGCAGTGTTGTAGGTGAGTTGGTCACACTGTGACGTGCAGTGTTGTAGGTGAGTTGGTCACACTGTGACGTGCAGTGTTGTAGGTGAGTTGGTCACACTGTGGCGTGCAGTGTTGTAGGTGAGTTGGTCACACTGTGACGTGCAGTGTTGTAGGTGAGTTGGTCACACTGTGACGTGCAGTGTTGTAGGTGAGGTGGTCACACTGTGGTGTGCAGTGTTGTAGGTGAGTTGGTCACACTGTGACGTGCAGTGTTGTAGGTGAGTTGGTCACACTGTGGCGTGCAGTGTTGTAGGTGAGTTGGTCACACTGTGGTGTGCAGTGTTGTAGGTGAGTTGGTCACACTGTGGTGTGCAGTGTTGTAGGTGAGTTGGTCACACTGTGGCGTGCAGTGTTGTAGGTGAGTTGGTCACACTGTGGCGTGCAGTGTTGTAGGTGAGTTGGTCACACTGTGGCGTGCAGTGTTGTAGGTGAGTTGGTCACACTGCCATGCAGTGTAATAGGCAAATGGAATGCATTAGGAAGTGTTGTGGTAAATATGATAAAGCCCAGTAGGCTCAGGAACCTGTACATCGGTTGAGAGGCGGGACCAAGGAGCCAGAGCTCAACCTCCGCATGTAAAACTAGGTGAGTACAGTTACAGCTTGACTGTACTTATTAAGGTTTTTAATACGGCAAAGTGTTCCGGCTCCTACACTTCAACAGGACAAAATTGACACCTTTGTTATTGTTATACAGAGGTCGGAATATTTTAGAGGAGCACTGTACCTCACAGTGATATAACTAATGTCTTCACTGCTAAACTTCGGTGGAAATCTTGGTGTGTGTGTGAGGCTTCTGTGATGATGCTGGAGTATTGTCCTGTTTAGTGTGTACACTGTAGGCACCAAAATTATTGTCAATTCCATGTGATTATGTATTTAACTGCTGTAAAATAAACGGTTTCCAATGATGTGATTCCAACCTCGGAGTTTGAAAAAGGTATCCAGACATTTAACAAATAAATGCATTAATTACAAATCAGCCGTGACTACATGATGGAGTGATTCCTCCTCATTTTCAATTCAGATTTCGGTAATTAGTTTACCTAATGACACTGTGTAATTTGTCCAACGGGATTAAGGATGGGTTAGAATTGCTGCTTTCAGTTGGTAGAATCTTACTGTAGTGAACTGGTCCAGATTTACAACGGCGATGACCTCTGTGGGCGGTGTGAAATGTGCTCTCGATGGGCGTGCATATGCTCATGGAGCGTCCCTTCACTGTTGACAAACCAGTGCTCATGGAGCATCAAGAACTTATTAAATCGGTAACCACTTGTACAAATCATTACAACTAGTACAGACTAAACAGATGTATAGCAGTCTAAATCAAACTTGCATTTTAGGCATAAAATGCAAGAGTGACCTTCAAAATTGGTGTGCAGTAGTGTGAGGACAAGGTTACCTTTGCTTGTCTGTCGGCCCCCTCTCTCCCTCTTTCCCTGGAATTTGGTCAAACGTACAAAAATGGACTGTTGGATCCCCAAAAAAATTTGTGTTGAATTAGCTCAAAATGGCAGCGTGAAATGGGGAAAAAGAGAACCTAGCCTAACCTGTTCCAGCAATACTGTTCCTAATACACGCTCTCTTAGGCCTAATGTAGTACATATGTGCTATACTAGGCCTAGGAATGATTTTCCCTTTTTTTCATGCCCTCCACAAAATTAATATTACAAAAGGTGAACATTGTTGGCTGGAACAGTCCAGTTGTGTGCTGTGGAGCAGATTGTTGCTATAAGCATTGTCATTTCAGGAGGACGGGCGAGAGGTGTCCGGCCCGTCAACCGTCCGGCCTGTCCACCGTAGTGACAGTAGCCTCTGTCGATGGACCGTGCCATGCATGTTCTGTCACTCGAGGCAGTCCACATTTTCTCTGTTCGTGTACTGAAGAGCAGAACAACAACAACCTGACAGCCAACCGAGTCAAGGTGTAAAAGAACTAATTCGAGGCCCCAATATATGGAAATTGTCTTCTTTAGTACATATATGTACTATATTAGACCTACAAATGGTTAGGCTTGGTGGTTCTCTACATTCTCATGTCCTTCAACAAAATCAATAGTGCAAAGCTTGGACACTCTTGGGTGCAACTGTCCATATTTGGTCATTAACAGCCAGTCTTTACAGGTAATATATAGTTTTGGATAATGTTACCTGAAGCTTACATCACTGTATAATTTATATTTTCTTCTAGTTAAGATATTTGTTTAGATATGGCCAGTGCCGCCCCCTCTAACTCGTGGGATAATTACCTGGCTATAGAGAGCAAGGGACAGTCTTGTGAAGGTTGGACACAATTGGAGCAAAATATCCAGTGTCCAGCATTTGAGAATATGAGGCGGTGGTTCACTCAAGTTAGCGGGAGAGTGAAGATTCCCGGCTGGATCTTGTACTCTGGGAGTGCTTTAACTGGGAGTGCATTAACTGGCTGTACTCTGGGAGTGCATTAACTGGATGTACTCTGGGAGTGCATTAACTGGATGTACTCTGGGAGTGCATTAACTGGTTGTACTCTGGGAGTGCATTAACTGGCTGTACTCTGGGAGTGCATTAACTGGATGTACTCTGGGAGTGCATTAACTGGATGTACTCTGGGAGTGCATTAACTGGATGTACTCTGGGAGTGCATTAACTGGATGTACTCTGGGAGTGCATTAACTGGTTGTACTCTGGGAGTGCATTAACTGGTTGTACTCTGGGAGTGCATTAAGTGGATGTACTCTGGGAGTGCATTAAGTGGATGTACTCTGGGAGTGCATTAACTGGATGTACTCTGGGAGTGCATTAACTGGATGTACTCTGGGAGTGCATTAACTGATTGTACTCTGGGAGTGCATTAACTGGTTGTACTCTGGGAGTGCATTAACTGGATGTACTCTGGGAGTGCATTAACTGGATGTAATCGTGGCGTTACTCACCAAGCCCACATTCTCTGCTTCAAATTCTAGCTTACGGAATTCCCTTGTCCTAAAAGATTTAATCTGGGAGATGAGCTCAGGGAAAACTCGCAGCTTTATTATATAACTGTTTTATACGCCAAGAAAAGTTGTAAAGCGAGAAGCGAAGGAATCACATCATTCTGGTGTGCACAAAGGTCATTTTTCAACAAACAGAAACCAATAAACAAGTTGCTGGAAAGCAATTCTCTTGTATCAGTAACTGACATTCAGAAAGATTTTGCTCGGCAAACCAATTTAACAATACTGGAGGAGGGATTAAAAATGGAGCGTAGTTTAGAGGTTTGAAGGCGAGGCTACGGGAGGTGGTGGGAGGGTGCCCCCACCTCCTCCACAATCCACCCCCCCTGTCAACACAGTTATACATGGACTCATCACTCCACACACTCCATGTGTGTTGGAAACCGAATCACTTAAAAATATATATTATACCAAAGTAAAATAATCAACCTTTGCCAAGCTGTTCTTTGATGACTTGTTGAAAAGTTTTTTCTTTAAATATTATTCAAAATTATTGTTGTGATATATTAGGCATGTGCGTGTGTTCGTTATCGTGGGTGAACTAGAAGGGGAGGATCGACTTTACACGCCTCGTTTGTCGTGGGAGGTTCGTGAGAAACGAACCCTGCCAGTCAGCTTTACGGATCATTGTTTGGTATTAGTAAGTTTGTAATAGGAGTGAGATGGTTGACCGTAGTCATGGTTGGTGGAAGCTGAGCTGCGGGCTGTTGAACGTGAGCGGGGGTGAGATTGGGTTAAGGTTGAATGTCTGAAAGACTTTCAGCTTGACTTGAAGCAGGTGGCTACAGGTCGGCACGGGATGATTAATGTGCTGGATTGTCGCTTGGAGCAATTGTTGTTGTTGTTGTTGTTGATTTAGGGGCGACGACGATCGTGGGATCGGATGCGCCCCGGCGTACCCATTAAGGGTGAATCGCGAAGCTCGGAAAGGTGAAACGCCAAGCCAAATCGAGAAACGAGTGACGCCAATCACTGGAAACTAATATGTCTCGCGACAAGGAAACGCAGACAGGCAGATGATTGGAGAGCCCCAGGAGTCCCTCAGGGTGACCAGCACCGACCCCGCCCCACACTGAGAACACTAAATTAAATTAAATTAAAAATTTTATTCAGGAAAAGTACATACATAGTTGATTTACAAACATAATGTTGGATTTATAGATAGAGCTAGTACATGCAATACCTAAAGCCACTAATATGCATAGCATTTCGGGCAAGAACACTGGGTAGCAAAACCAAATACTCGGCCCCAACTAAAACGCAAAAGTCATCCAGTGCCCTCCGGCAGAGCAGAAGCCAGCCACAACCACGGCCGAGGGTACACCCGGAGCCCACCAAGACCCACCAACTCCCGGCACCTCTCGGCCAAGCCGGTACCGAACACCGTCACCCCGCCGGGAGAACCAGCCAGAACACGTGAAAAAAAATCTATCAACAATCCCGTGACCCAAGGCGATATGTGTGGCAGGCGTTGTACAACCGGACCGTGAATAGGGATGCCAAACGGCAGGATCAAAGCCAAAACGCGAAAACAACGTGATCCGGCGGCTCCCAGTCAGAGGAGGCATGAAGATGGACAGCATTGAGTTCCTCATAGTGAGATTAACTCCCATAATTTCAACGTTCTCGCCACATTTGGGCAAGTCTGTGATTGCCGTGGCATTGATATGATTTCTTACTAGAATTGAAATGCCTCTGGTGCCACCTTGTGCCATAGGGCAGTGGAAACCTTGATATCCTGGGATATTGATATATCTTTCAGTCCTGGTGAGTGTTTCTTGAAGTAGAACAATATCAATGCTGTCCTTGAGAAGCACTGCTCTGAGTGTTTGTGCTTTGTTTTTGAATCCTGGAATATTCCATTGTATAATTTTGAGATTGTCCATTATTCCGTTATAGTGGAATCATTGAGTCCATGGTTTTTACAGTGCTGATTTTCCCGACCGTTTGTGTCTTCTTGGCTGGAGTGGAGACTTTTTTCTTGGTGGGTGAGGAGACTCTTGGTTGGGTTGAAGGTCTTTGCTACATCCAGCTACTGGGGCAGTTGATGATGTAGGGATCATCATTTCTGCTTGGGAGGTCTTGGAGGCAATAGCAGGTATACCGAGGGTCTGGTCGATTGTGGTCTAGAAGTTGTGACTTTGGGTTGCTGGGTTGATCCGAAAGCTAGTATTCTTTTTACCCTTTCTGGACATCTTTTGTTCCAGGTGTGATGTGTATCCCCGCAGTTTGGGCATTTTGCTTTCTTTTGTTTGCTTTCTTTATGCAAATTCTTGCATATGTCGGTGTTGTGGAGCTCGCTGCATACACCACATAGATCTCAACACTCAGAGTGTTGATGCGAGGTCCTTTTATTGTTACGAGGACCTGTCTTGTTTCTACATTGTTGTGCTTACATCTTTCCGCCGTTGTGACATTTGGGCATTCTAAGAGTTGGTGATTTTTCCTCTGGTTTCAGTTCCACTAGGTGTTCTGTATTCCTGAGGTTTGTGATTATATCCGGATTAGCTGTGGATATGTTATATCTGCCTCTAATGTCAGGTTTGGCTCCAAGACCTGATCCTGGATTATCCTTTTCCAGTGCGGCAATGTAAGCATAAGTGGGACCATCTACTGTTTTTTTGGTTTTGAAGATGGTCCTTTGGCATTGGTTTGGGGGCTGCTCTTGAGTTCTGGTTGACTTCTAAATTGATTTCTTTGTGCGGTTCTTCTGTTCTAATTCGTTTGTTTGCCTTTCCGTTTCCTACAATTTGCCACGGTGGTTCGTTGAGGGTTGGGTCGTCTTCACCAATTTTCCTTGCTCTTACTACGAGATCATTGTGTCCTTCTGACGTTAATAATTTCAGAAGGATGGTTAGAAAAGTCATATCCTGGGGGACATGGTTGCACTGTACTAAAAAAGTAACTGAGGAAGTAACTGTAACTGCGTACTGCTGTGACTGAAATCAAGAAACTTGATTGAGTGGTGGGCAAATCTTTAACAGGATATGTATTAGGGAGGGACAAGGAGTATCGCAGTGAGAAGTGTATATGGAAGGGTTTCGTCTGGGGAATGCAGCACTGGTAGGCAGTACGGCTGGTATATGCTGCATTGGTCGAGTGATTTGTATTAAAGGGTAGAGTGTAATGGGTTGGCCACCAGGCTGTGGGTTGTGATGCGTGCCAGGTTAGCCCTGTGAACCTCTTCAGGGAGAAGGACTTTCCCCCGTTTGTGGCCTGGACCTGTCTCCAGGTGCTGATGTGATGTGATGCTTCCCGGCCGTCTAGTGCCTCGTTGCCGGTTTCTGCAGTCCGCCTGGATGTAGGTGTGGATGGAGGTGTGTGTATCGAGGTGGTGGTTAGTGCTGCTCCGACCCCTCCCCCCCTGCTGTCGGTTTCCCCGCTCAGCCGTCCCTGCCTGCACTTTCTCGAGTTCAAGTGTCTTCTGTGGTGTGTGGTCTGGTGCCCCTGGTAGTCAAGGCTGCAGTAGTGAAAGATCGTGCTATGCGTGGTGCTGTGCGTTCCCCAGGGGATGCTGCTGCGGTGCCTTCTGGGAGATGTGATAGTTCTGACGACCAACGCCCTGTTTCCAAGCGTTCGAGATGGGTTCGGAGTGTCTCCCCCTTCGTGGGGTACGTGGCCTGGGCTGACGTGCGGGACTATGGACACTCTGAGAGATCTTCATCTGTGGATGACAAAGGTGTGAAGGGGACTGCTGTGGTCCCGGCGTGTGGCGAGGCGGTGTTGATGGCTGGTGCCCCTGTCGTGGGGGAGGGGGCTGATGTGGGGGGGTGAGCCTTTGTTCCTGCTTCTGATTCCTCACCCGCGTCCCAGTGTACCGATTCCCCGGCGTGGGGGGGGGGGGGCGGGGTGATTGTGCACCCTGATGAGGACGTTAGTGAAGCACGTGACCTGGTAGTGGTTCTGGAAAAGGACGTTCGCCGGGCGGGCTCTGTGCTCTTGCCCCCGGTTCTACAGTCTGCTGTGTCATCACCTCCTGTGGTGTCGCCTCCTGTGCCTCTGCCCTCCGTGTGTCAGCCCCTCGTGCAGCCGCCCTCTGCGTGGCTGCCCTCTGGGTCTTCGTCATTTGTGTATTTGACATTATATGAATGTATTTGATGTTCATTATAAAGCTTTATACAGTATATGCTTACCTCAGATTTAAGCTTTGTTTCATTTAAACTGTTTTTATCACTGGTTTAAATCGAAATATTTAGCATAAGTGGAATTTAAGTGTTTCAAATAAAAATTTATTTATAAATAGCTAGGTATAATTAGTGGACACGAGAACATAAATTATGGCAAGATTTGCATAATGCTCAATTAAATGAATGATATCTGATATATATGATCAAGGAAATTTTAAATCAAAATAAAATCACATTAACATGATGTAGCAATAATAGGCTGAGGAAAAAATTAATATAAATTGAAATATATATATATATATATATATATATATATATATATATATATATATATATATATATATATATATATATATATATATATATATGTAATGTGTATATTTTCTGTAACATAAATCAGTAGGAGCCGTGAGGAGAATTCGAACCCCCCGCACTTGCAGAGTAAAATATGATTTTACACGTGTACGAGTTGTTCACGACAGTGATGGTGATTTGGTTGTTACAGATGAGTTGGACTACAGCCGCCGGGCCAGGACGCGGGCACCCAACCACCGCCGGCTGCCTGTTCTGCACCTCACGCCCTCACACACCAGGTGGTGGAGGGCGGTACCTGGTCAGTGCTCTCCTTGTACTCTCCATCCTATACCACCTTGTACTCTCCCACCTTGTACTCTACCACCTTGTACTAACCATCCTATACCACCTTGTACTCTACCACCTTGTACTCACCATCCTATGCCACCTTGTACTTGTTCTCTGCTTGTTCTTGATCTCTGTCTTGATTTTTATCTCTCATTCCTTTCCCATTCCTAATTCCCACCAGCCTTCGTGACCGTGTCATGTCTCACTAGTGCCCTGGTTGTTATGGCCACACAGCTGCACACTCTGGTAACATTTCTGGTTCAACAGCTGGGCCGCTGCCAGATGTTAGGCAGGTGCTGTTCACTTGTATCTGCAGCAGTGTATATTCTAATTAGCATTAACTTGAAGCTAATTCCCAGCGTGCCGCTATGTATAGTCTTGAGAAGGCTCGCACACGTGTGTGTGTGTGTGTGTGTGTGTGTGTGTGTGTGTGTGTGTGTGTGTGTGTGTGTGTGTGTGTGTGTGTGTGTGTGTGTGTGTGTATACCTAAGTGTAGTTACAGGATGAGAGCTACGCTCGTGGTGTCCCGTCTTCCCAGCACTCTTTGTCATATAACGCTTTGAAACTACTGACGGTCTTGGCCTCCACCACCTTCTCACCTAACTTGTTCCAACCGTCTACCACTCTGTTTGCGAAAGTGAATTTTCTTATATTTCTTCGGCATCTGTGTTGAGCTAGTTTAAATCTATGACCTCTTGTTCTTAAAGTTCCAGGTCTCAGGAAATCTTCCCTATCGATTTTATCAATTCCTGTTTCTATTTTGTATGTAGTGATCATATCACCTCTTTTTCTTCTGTCTTCTAGTTTTGGCATATTTAATGCCTCTAACCACTCCTCGTAGCTCTTACCCTTCAGTTCTGGGAGCCCCTTGATGTTATCCTCTTGATCTGAGCTTCAGGGGATGGTCTGGCGTGAATTCAACCCCAGGTCTTTCTTTCTTTCAGTCTCTTGAAGTATTTCATCTCCCAAATGATACCTTGTATCTGGTCTCCTGCTCCTTACCCCTATCTTCATTACATTGCATTTGCTTGGGTTAAACTTTAACAACCATTTGTTCGACCATTCCTGCAGCTTGTCCAGGTCTTCTTGAAGCCTCAAGCTGTCCTTCTCTGTCTTAATCGTTGTCATAATTTTGGAGTCGTCAGCAAACATTGAGAGGAATGAGTCTATACCCTTTGGGAGATCATTTACGTATGTCAGAAACAGGATAGGTCCGAGTACAGAGCCCTGTGGGACTCCACTGGTGACTTCATGCCAATCTGAGGTCTCACCCCTCACGGTAACTCTCTGCTTCCTATTGCTTAGGTACTCCCTTATCCACTGGAGCGTCCTACCAGTTACTCCTGTTTCTCCAGCTTATGCATCAGCCTTTTATGGGGTACTGTGTCAAAGGCTATCCGACAGTCCAAAAAAATGCAGTCCGCCCATCCTTCTCTTTCTTGCTTAATCTTTGTCACCTGATCGTAGAATTCTATTAAGCCTGTAAGGCAAGATTTACCCTCCCTGAACCCACGTTGATGGGTTGTCACGAAGTCTCTTCTCTCCAGATGTGTTACTAGGTTTTTTCTCACGATCTTCTCCATCACCTTGCACGGTATACAAATCAAGGACACTGGCCTGTAGTTCAGTGCCTTTTGTCTGTCACCTTTTTTGTATATTGAGACTACATTAGCCGTCTTCCATATTTCTGGTAGGTCTCCCGTTTCCAGTGACCTACTATACACTATGGAGAGTGGCAAGCAAAGCGCTCCTGCACACTCTTTCAATACCCAAGGTGAGATTCCGTCCGGGCCAACAGCCTTTCTCACGTCCAGATCCAACAGGTGCCTCTTGACCTCATCTCTTGTAATTTCGAACCCTTCCAAGGTCACCTGGTTTACTGCCACCTCTCCTAGCGCAGTGACCTCTCCTTGTTCTATTGTGAAGACCTCCTGGAACCTCTTGTTGAGTTCCTCACACACCTCTTTGTCATTCTCTGTGTACCTGTCCTCACCCGTTCTCAGTTTCATCACCTTTTCCTTCACTGTTGTTTTCCTCCTGATGTGACTGTGTAGTAACTTTGGTTCGGTCTTGACTTTATTAGCTATATAATTTTCATACTTTTTCTCAGCTTCTCTTCTCACACTAACATACTCGTTCCTGGTTCTGTGTGTGTGTGTGTGTGTGTGTGTGTGTGTGTGTGTGTGTGTGTGTGTGTGTGTGTGTGTGTGTGTGTGTGTGTGTATTCACCTAGTTGTATTCACCTAGTTCTGTTTGCGGGGGTTGAGCTTTGCTCTTTCGGCCCGCCTTTCAACTGTCAATCAACTGTTTACTAACTACTTTTTTTCCCCCACACCACACACACACTCCCCAGGAAGCAGCCCGTGACAGCTGACTAACTCTCAGGTACCTATTTACTGCTAGGTAACAGGGGCATTCAGGGTGAAAGAAACTTTGCCCATTTGTTTCTGCCTGGTGCAAGAATCGAACCCACGCCACAGAATTACGAGTCCTGCGCGCTATCCACCAGGCTACCAGGCCACACAGGTGTGTGTGTGTGTTTGTGTGTGTTGCGTGTGTGTGTGTGTGTGTGTGTGTGTGTGTGTGTGTGTGTGTGTGTGTGTGTGTGTGTGTGTGTGTGTGTGTGTGTGTGTGTGTGTGTGTGTGTGTGTGTGTGTGTGTGCGCGCGCGTACTCGTGACAACAGCTGTTAGATCAGGGTGACCAAACTACACTATGGTAATTGCACATTGCATTTTTCTTTAATGAAAGCTCAAATTCATTCCTGCATCAAAGTCATCAGGATCCAATTTATTGGTTCCATGATTGGAAGCCGAGCAACAACGGACGTGATGTAACGACCAATGGTTCCATATGTGGAGCTCATATGGCCGCCCGGCACCACACACCCAAGCCTCAACTGGTCTGGTCAAGCTCCTAGTTCTTCACATGTTTTACTCTGTAGAGCGCCTCTGTATAATGCATCTCAATTCTATAGTAGCCGAGGATAGTGTATTTCTAAGAGTTCTTTAGTAACACAAAATGGTGCTTCTCTGGTGTGGTATTGTAGTGGAAAATGGTGCTATGGTGTTCTATTGTAGTATAGGATGGCGTTTTTCTGGTGTTCTACAGGAACACAAATTATTATCTCTGTAGTTACTTACTCGGGAATAACTGTTAATTGAATTGGTGATAAAAATTGAAAATGAAAATGGCTCAATGTTCAATGTTAACATTATTAAACCTCACCAAACAATAAGGCTGACCTTGCATGATATACACATCCCTAGAGAATGTGTTCAGCATGGAGATGTGCAGCTCTTCCTCACGTTACTTTGACATGCTGCTCATATCAATATATATATATATATATATATATATATATATATATATATATATATATATATATATATATATATATATATATATATATATATATATATATATATAAATCCCGCGTGTATAGTTACCCAAGTGTAGTTACAAGATGAGAACTACCCTCGTGATGTCCTGTCTCCCCAGCACTGTCATACGACGCATTGAAACTACTGACGGTTTTGGCCTCCACGGCCTTTTCACTTGTTCCAACCGTTGTTGTTGTTTTTAGATTCAGCTACTCGGAACAATAGTTCCAATTAGCACGGGCTATGGCGAGCCCGCAGTGGACTTGTGTTCTTCCAACCGTCTACCACTCCAATATTGGTTTATTGGTATGCTGAACTCTGTAATTACTATATGAGTACCGGAACACTTGATGATATGTTGGACTTGTACCCAAAATTGACCATGTAATGTATCAATTATACAATGTATGTATGTGATGTAACTATATAACCTGAGCTTGTAAAAACACCTTAATCACCTTCAGTGATTAAGTGCTTAATTGCACACAAGTTTCTTTATCAGCTATCTCACCCTGTCAAAGTAAAAGAGACAAATGTATGTGAATGCATGTGTGTGTATGTGTATAAAGTATATATGGAAGCTGATCAGAATTACATTTCACCTTTGTAAATGCACATTAATGACACTATGTAAAAGACACATCGAACACTTTATGTAGGGCATTCGTAAATCTGTGTATCTATGTATTTACGTATGTAGGTTAGCTTAACATTTTAAAAGCACCGAATCACCTTCTGTGGTTGATTGTTCAATAAACCCTTGAACTATATGTTTAACACTTCTATAACCCTGTCCATGGAGGACAGAAGAAAATGTATATATGTTGGTTAGCATTGTAAATGTGTGGCCACGTCTGTGGTAGAAAAAAACTCGGCTTGCAAAAGTGTGCTTCAGTACCGCTCTTGAGTTCAGACCACTCCATGGCGAGGTTCACTTGATTGTCTATTGCTTTAAACTTATTTTTTGTTTATTGTAAAAGCTTTAGTGATTCGGAACCACTCATTGACAGCAGTTAGGTGGTTTTTATTAAATTTGACAGTTTGGTATTAATTTCATTAGAATGGAGCATGTGTGGCCATCTAATAAATTCAGACTAGCAACTTTCTTTCACAAAAGGGCATGTTGCAGTGACGTGTGTGAGTAGCCTCCCTGAACTTTATTTTGAAATTCATAGCATTTTGATCCTACTGTGCGTAGGCTAGTTATGAGGGTATGGACTCTTCAACATGGGCCTTAATAACTTTATATTAATTACTATTAGTTTTGTAGTTGATTTAATATATAGTAATTTTATTTAACTTTTTACAGTTGATAGGAACGAGGCACCAAAAAACTGGATGAATGAAAGCCGGACTGACAAAAGTGTGGGTGGAGGCGGAGGCAGGGAGGGAGGCGGTTATGGTGGCGTCACCAGTCCAGCTCCACCCCTGCCACCACCACCACCACCACAGCTGCCCTCTAACAACCAGTTGGACCTGCTCAAGAGGATACAACAATCAGAACTACTCTACAACAGTCAAAATGCATCGGTATCGTCTCGAGTTAATACGAGTGTGACGAGAAGCCCCACCACACGCCCTCCACACTTCATTTTCCACAAGGTTTATGTTGACGCAAACTACGGCACTCGGACAAGGCAGACGTACCAACGCCCAGTGTTAGCAGTTATGGCTGTTAGTGATGACAGAAGAACAGCCACAATTGCTGCAGAGGATAAAGGAAATGATCTTCCAGACACCATGGATCTCATAACATACCATTTAACTAGTGATAATATGAAAGATCTTCCAGATATATCTGATACGCTCTCAATGTCTCCGAAAAATTTATCAAAATTCTCCCAGGAAGATTTGAAGTCAACAGAGTATAATAAGCAAGTGGAGAGCGCCGCCCCGAGGGCCTCGGAGCAGGTGTGGAGGAAGGTCCGACGCAGGAGCCACAAACACGGTCGCTTCACACACACACTCCGGAAACTGTACACATTTAAGGTATGGTCATCTTAGTCCCTCCAGTTTTTAACCCTATAAATGAGTTTTAGAGTTTAGTGCTTTGAAGTTTGCATGATATGTGAGATTCAGCACAATACATAATTCAACTTATCCTTAGAACATAATCCAATTTATTTGGTATTGTGGGTGGTAGTGGAAAAGGTTACAGGTTGGGTACAGGTACAGGTTAAAGGTTACGGTTGAGGGCCTCAGGGCTCACAACACTACAAACCAGACATGACAAAGCGCGTCTTATTGAAACTTTAAAAATACGGAACAATTTAGAGGATGTTGATCCAGACAACTTCTTCAGAAGGTGAGATGTAACACAAACAAGGAGCAACGGGTTCAAGCTCAACAAGCCACAATGTAGGACTGAGAACAGGAGATGCTTTTTCACACCCATGGAACCGCCTACCCGCCGAAGCCGTAAAGACCAAAATTCTGTTAACATTTAAAGTACAATTGGAAATGATCATCGAGGCAAATGAGGGTACCCTCGACAAGCCGCCGGCTTCCTGTCCTCGTCGAGGCCACTAGTGTTAGTGGCTCTCGGGTAAACTTTGGTGCACATAATGAACTTAGGAATTGAATTGTATATTTAGCTAAACAGTGAGCTAGTCACGACCAAAGATCACATTCACATCTACCTCCTACGGGCTATTCATGCCTGTGCCACCTCTTAGGTGGCTTAATCTTCATCAGTCATCAGCTAGTCATTGAGATTGTTGTTTAATTCCTAGGTATTAGAGATGGCTCTGGCTGTTTGGCCCCGCCTCCTCTGGGGAGGTGCTGCTATTGTCTTCATATAGATCATGAACCTGATACAGAGTTCCGATGCAGTTTGTAATCCATTTTGAAGGACGCTGACCTTCGATAAAGGAGGCTTGGAGGGCGTCTGCACCGGGGTTGGGGTTGGGTAACCATGAGCATCTTGATACCAGTAAAATCTTTGATTCAGTGATTTGATCATTAATAATGAGATTGAGTTCATGGTGAGTGTTTTTGCTTGTGTGCCGCCACAGCTTAGGATGGTGAAGCAGTAGTTGTCCGCTCCTACCCAGGAACCCTCTCATTATCAAGGCAACACCATTGAAGGTTACATACTATGGAAGGTATCCCAGCAAAATTATGTGTTACATATAGAATATACATAATATGCATATAATATATGAATATTAACCTGTACAACCCACCAAACAAGACCGGATAGCGAGTACATTATGTAATATACTGGTGTATAGCTGAAGAGTTGTATAACTTTCTTATATAATCAGCACATCATTGTCTTGAGCGTTCCCAATTTCATTAAATTGTTATAATAATGTGCCCGAGCCTGACCTGACTGAGGACCCACGAACAGAAAACGAGACATCACATCAATTTCACGAGCCGCTGCCATTGTTAATACATCTGTTTTTAGCCTTGAACAAAATACAGTACGTCAAAATGCGATGTGCTATTAGGAGAACGGGTTAGTATATGGTATATATAGTGTTATATAACTTACGGTAAGTCTTTGAAATCAAGGAAAGAGTAAATTTTAAGTTTTGTTTCATTCGCAGAGTCAAATTAAATTCCTGCAACGGTGGGAAGAGAAGTTATGGCACAGAAGTCAACACATACCAAGGACGCCGTCACCCAAGCTTTAACCCCAAGACCACCCCTTCTCGGATCCATCCTTGCAGTGTTATTTGTACTCTGTACCTCCCTACTCTGCCTACCATTTGGGTCGTCTCGTGTTTCAGCGCAGGTCCTTCACCTAACTTGATCTCATCGTCATACCTCAGGTGCTCTGCTCCTCAAGTATCCAGAAAAACACATTTGCAGTTTTAAACATTTCAGCCCCATATATAAAGGACATTTAATTTTATGGTCTTCTCTAAATAATAGAATATAATGAAATGGATCTGATACATACTGCAAACAAAAGTACTACGTAGACTAAAATTACAAACTTTTTTTCTTTTTAAGACGTACAGTATTTCAATAAGCCAGTGATAATGGCAGTCAGTGTCGGATACTGTTGGATACGGACAAAAGCCTTCAAGATGTTTACCATTATTGCTCCTCCCTTGGATCTCCCGTCCCTGTGGTTTCAGGGTCATTCCAAATCATTTTGCTTAGAATTTGTGTAAATAGGAGAAAGTTATTATGAATTCCCTAATTGGCTGACAAATATGCATACAGTAAACTTTACTCTTCCCTCTTCCTGTACCTCCCGAATATTACAGAAAATATCACAGAGAAAGAAAATTAACCACAGTACAAAGCATTAATTACGGTTGAGGGTACATAAAAAATAACCGACTTTCAAAGTTCATTAAATCACATCGTAAAATACACAGAATCGTACATATTTTATCAGAATCAATGACTGGGACGCCGCAGACACACCAATCACTAAGTTGTCATATTGAGCACATTTGTGATCACAAGTTGGTCACTTGAGTTCTGTGGTGCAAGGTGATGTGCAGGTTGGTCACACCTAAATAACAGGCTCAATTACCACGATAGGACAGTAGCTTTTCTGCAACGTTTCTTTTCACGTGATGCGTCTGTTCACCTAGTAGTAAATAGGTACCTAGCAATGAAACATCTATTGTGGGTAACATTCTCGAAAAAGTCACTATAGTTGACTTTTATAGGCGTAATAGGCCTCCTGTCCCTGACCATAGAAATAATTAGGTGAACCAATATTTAGGGTTTTGTTTACAGTAAATCACCTAAAGGCACCTGAATGTTGGGGATCATACTGCAATATATTGTTGTCTTAACGCATTACTTCCTCTCTTCTTTGTTTAAAGTAATCTAGCACTTTTTTATGTTGTGATTTAGGCCAGATAATAAACAGGATTACATCCAGGTTCTCTAGTATTTCTGGATGCTGAGAGGCGAACAGTGAAGGAACACTGCTCAGTTATTCCATCCTGCCCGGGAATCGAACCTGGGCCAGTCTGGCATGGTTAGGAGAGGGACACCAGTGATAATCCAGTACTTTCTTTGAAACTTGATTACTGTAGAAAAGTATTTAATATTTTTACTTTGCTAATTGCTTATTTTAAAGGAAAGCTCTATATGTACTTAATTTATACCCTAGGAGAGCAGTTTGTAAACATTCAGATGTCACTATGTACCTCTCGGCTGTGAACATACATATTTCTCGCAGAATAAGTCACAATAACGGGGCTGAATAACACGCACACACTCACACGTGAAAATGAGTGACGGTGACATTTCAGTCCGTCGCGGACGTCACCAAATGTTCATTCACTATCACATCCTGGACGTGTCCCTCCCCCTCCCCTTCAGTGTACATTCACTATCACATCCTGGACGTGTCCTGTGTACACTCATAATGGTGTGGGGGGGTTGTGTTATCCATGTTTTATAATGTATAATTCTGCGTTACCGTGACCACAGCTATTTACCTTGCTTTTGAGATGGTTTCATTTAGTAAGTACCACATGACTAACTTGTATAATTATAGGTCGCTGTAATGTTGTATAATTCCACTAATTTGTGGTATCATGTTGGTCATTTCGTCACTGATGTGTGTACGTGATCCTTAGTCTCATACCAGTACTTAAATATTTTTGAAAATTAGATTTTTATGATAGTTTAAAGAAATTCTAAGCCATGTTTGTAATATTATATTTTAAAGTAATTTTTAATAAAAGTAGCTTTAAGTATATATAGTAACACTTGGTGTGCTTTGAAATAATTTTTATTAGGGGAGTCTGACTATTTTTGCCAGTTTTAAGTGCTGATCTTATTCTTGGAAGCTTTAAGTACTTTAATTCAAGATAGAACAAATACCTGCTGTGTCTTGTATACAATCCTCTTTATGTATATGGTGCAGGTGGAAGGGCTTGGCAGTACAGGGAAGGGCATGGAAGAGGAAGTGTGAAAGGGGCATAGATGAGATGGGAAACGAAAGTGGGAGAGGGAGTCGATGTATGGCAATCTCTAGAGGTAAGTAGAGTAGTAAAGCATAATAACCCAGCAAATGGCAGCTGCTATCATTGAATTTTGTTTATATCGATATTAGTGTAGTGTGCAACTAATCAAATTAAAGGCAAAATATGGGAATTTTCTGACAACATTTTAGGATAAAACATTTAACACAATTGGTTTTACTATAGACACATGGTATCTTTATCATATATGCATTGTACAGTAATGGAATAGTTCCATGTGATGAGCCTAAAGTTATTGGTCACACTTTTACACCACATTTAGACCACACAAAATTAATCCAGTATTACAAATAGATTTTACCTCAATAATTACATTTGTTAGCCTTTCTATCCCACCTAATTTATAGACTTTTTGCCCTCGCGCGCCTCTCTGCAGATCTCTCAACCTCCAAACTACTCGGATTATTATGATTTTTGAGCCTCGGGTTAAGTGCTGCAATTTGACTCAGCACAGTCCTAATCACTTAGCGCAGGTCAAACTGTCAAACTACCGAGTGCTAACCGCTCGATGCAGTCCAGGTTACCTTGAGGTGTTTTCGGGGCTTAGCGTCCCCGCGGCCCGGTCCTCGACCAGACCTCCTCATTGCTAGACTGGTCAACCAGGCTTTTGGACGCGGCTGCTCACAGCCTGACGTATGAATCAGGTTGATCAGGTCAGCCTGGTTGATCAGGTATCCTTTGGAGGTGTTTATCGGGTTCTCTCTTGAACACTGTGAGGGGTCGGCCAGTTATGCCCCTTATGTATAGTGGAAGCGTGTTGAACAGTCTCGGGCCTCTGATGTTGATAGTTCTCTCTCAGAGTACCTGTTGCACCTCTGCTTTTCAACGGGGGTATTCTACACATCCTGCCATGCCTTCTGGTCTCATGTGATGTTTTTTCTGAGTGCAGGTTAGGGACCAGCCGCTCTACTATTTTCCACGTGCATTAGGCCAAGCTACACTACTGTACTACACAATACTGTTTATTGATTGCGAGGTTTTCACGTTTCTCCGTCCGAGACAACTTCCCTAGTATCGGATGGAGAATAGCAAACAATAATATTATGCCAGGAAATCTATCAGGACCTAACCAACCACAGATTAGAGAACTACTTAGATTCTGTGACAAATTTTCACTCAACCAGCAGATATCGGAGCAACGAGAAATGAAAATATTCTAGATCTGGTCTTTACGATCAATGAAGACATTATCAGAGACATTACGATATCAGATACCACATACTCAGATCACAAGCTCATTGAAGTGCAAACGACCATCAATACTCAGAATAGACCTAAAACGTTGATCAAGCGAGAGGGGTTATTCAGTAAATTAAATTTTAATAATAAAAGGATAGACTGGGAGAAAATAAATAGAGAACTTACAAACATTCCATGGGAAACTGTTCTAAGTAATACAAGTCCTACAGAAGGAATTGAAAAACTGAGTTCGGAAGCGTATCAAATCTGTCTGAAAGGAAGCCGTTTCTTTCCCAGCTCTCTCGGTTTATTTTCCTGGTGAACTGGCAAAAGTCCCATTTTACTCCATCCCAGATTTGAACCTCCGTCCGTCCGTCCCTGCCTCCTATGGCCTTGCTCCACCTGCAGCTTTGTTGCTGTCAGGTGCTGGATGGGCCATGGATGACTTGTTGGTTGATCGAGCAGTTTTGCAGGAGCAAGAAATCTGCCTGTGTGGTTTTCCTGCTAAGCAGGGTACTCGAGCTTACAGGTTCCTCTGGTACCGCCCACTCTTTTGGACTTTTCGGAGTTTGGTTCCATGGCACCATCCTGTCATTTCACTGAAAGTGTTTCTGGATGCCTCTGCTCTGCGTTGGGGCTTTGAGACCAATGTTTGCCATTGGCTGGCCAGCCCAGGGTTGGTGATCAGGCCACACAGAACGGTGCAAGTTTACAGCCATATGGCATGTGCTAAGAATTTGGCTTTGTACTTAAGATCCACTCGCCGGTGGTTCATTGCCTGAACTGAAGGGGATGGGGGGTCACTTTGGCACCCCCTCCCTTTGGGACTAGATGCTTCATGTAGCTTGGCTTCTGGATTGTTGGAGTTTGGTTTTCCACTTGGTTCCATTTGAGGTGTTTCCAACATTCTTGTAGACGGGTTACCATAGAACATTTTGCATTTGGTTTGCAGAGTAAACCATTGATGATGAGTCCTTCCGTTAGCTTTAAGAGATGTTCCTTGCCCCGAGGTGTACCTCCTCACTTCAGCATAGAACCGGCGCTTTCCCTCCTGTGCGCTTCTATTTTATTACGAGGTTCTCATGGTGGATACCTTTCAGCTGGACTGGTTGAGGTGGGGAAGCACTTACCTGAAAATCATTTTGAGGCAAAAGAGTAACTTTGAACTGGCATTCTGGCGATTCCCAGACACCTGCCTTAATCAACTCTGCGACTATCTCCCCCACATTAACTGAAGCTGCTGGCACCTATAATGCTGCCACCTAGCAATGGCCAGCTGTTACTAGGGGGGGAATATAACCTAACTACTGGGTGGATCATTTGCTGCATTGTTAAACTTGTGAACCTTTCAGTTCTGTTTTGCTTTGCCTCCTTTCCGGGGATTTGTTTCTTTGGTGAAGGTGATCATGAATTCCCTGCATCTCTTTGAGGAGGCGGGGCCAGGTTTTGGCTTCTGGTAGGCTATTTATTAAAGGACTCACAAGGAGTGTGTGCTCCACACAGCCGGTACTATCCCAGTACAACTAGCACCGAGATGGTACTAGTCGTACCGAGGCCAGAGGAGCCACCGAAGCCTCAAACAGAAAGAGGTACAGTACTGTATTTCATTATATTCGGTGCTTTTTTTCTCTAATGTGCATTACTATTCTTTTTGTTTTCCTCTTATCAGGTCACTTTTAGCTATGAATATCATGCTATCCATCTCTAATATGTACATGTAGCTTTTCATCCCCTTTTGTTTTCTGTAATATTTCAGCCATCTACTGTGTTGTCCTGTTTATATTGCACCTGTTAGTAACTAGGACACTAGAGCACACTACTTATTCACCATGTATAAACACAACTTGGTAAGTGAAGGGTTATAGGGTTATTCATACCAAATTTTGTTAACTTTCCTGCTGCTGCGTACTATATTTCGTGACCAAAATCACACTGGCTTTCTTTGCAGCATTACCAATAGCCAACTCTTCCGAGGTTCATTTTATTGCATGGGTGTCTGCACTTTAGCTTCATTTTCCTATATTTCTTGCAAACACTTTCACTCGCACAGTGCAATGAATATATGTAACAAAAAACAAAATAGGCCGATTATGTACAGCAACTACTTTATTTCCTGCTACTCCCACATGCCATTGACCATGTGGCCTCAACAATTTTCTTTGCTGTTTTCATAGCAATTTTCTATCTTTCTGCTTCCTTTCATTAAGCACTTGTAGGCAATTTTTAAGTGATAGTGCTAATTATCCCTCCCAAATCTAAAAAATATGGAGCTTTCTCCAGGTGTCTGTCCTCTGGAACTGACCTGATATAGCTCCAGAGAAGCCAATCTACACCAGCTCCTGATATGGAGATGGTTTAGATAGGGCAAGGTCCTCTGGATCTTGCATTATCTAAACAATGGTCTCCCCTGTTCTTAACTGCTATTATTAGAGTTATCTCTGTATTATATTTATAGTTGGGTTGCAATGAGCATACTGTGTTTTTTTACAACTTACCATTTTACCCCGCCCGTTAATGTTAAAGTAATGTAAATGTTTGTAGATATTTAAATAACAGTATTTTATAGCCTTGGCTATTTACAAAATCTTTAATGTGTGAATAGTATTTGTACTTATAATAATTGAGAATATGTAAGCAAACTATTTTCATAAAGGGTAAAGTTTATATTAGTATTAAGATAAAATATTACCCTATAGTTATGTATGTTGTATATAATGAAACTTGTGAATTGTAGATTAAGGTCTAATGAGTAAATATGTTAAAATAATATAGTGTATTACTTAAACATCAATTAAACTAATTGTTAAAAGATGGCACCAAGCCTGGAACCATTTTTTACAACCATTTTTCACACAAAATGGTAAAGAAATTTATAGATATTACCCAGGACACAAGTACAGTATTAATATAAAAGAACGCTCTAGAACATATCTGGAGAGGGTTTCGGGAGTTCTACTTCCCGAGCCCAGCCATGAGACGAGTGGTGGTAGTAATTATCAAAAGGCGACAAGCCGGGGAGACTATGTAGCACCATATATGCACGATTTTCAAAAGGTGCTAAATACCACTAAGGATGCCGATACTAGAACGAAAGCACATAAGGCGAACGATATCAAGGGTCTCTGGATTCACCAAGGATTCTATCGAGGGACAAGTAAGTAATTATAAAAAAAAAAGGCACCGTGCTGGGAAGGCTATGTAGCATCATCAAATGTGCGGGATATTCAAAAGGCACTAAATATCACTAAGGATGCCAATACGAGAACAAAAGTGCATAAGGCAAACGATATCAAAGGTATCCGAGTCGCCAAGGATTCTATCGGGTAACAAGTGACTGTGAGGGACGGTCGAGGAAGCAAGACACACGCACATCCTGGATGTCCGGTCATTCAACAATGATATGCACGTCCGTAAGAGGGACAGTGCAGTTTGGACAACAGGAAGGGTGGCACTCCATTAAGTGCCCGCGAGTTAAACATGTATGGTCAATATGCAACCTCACCAGAGCCGTTTCCCACTGCCGGATATGGTGGTAGGAAGAAGGCCATGGGGACAGGCGACCCTTAAGAGCACCCAGTTTGTTACCAGTAACAGAACACTATTGCCAACGTGACCCTGCCAACGGAATAAGTGGGTAGAAGTCAAAATAAGGAACACCTTTGCGGGAAATAGGACAAGTGCGGATAGCCTCCTGAGCAGCAGCATCACGCATGCTCATTTCACACTTTCGTCCGGTGGCAACGGATATTGCGTCCTTAATTAACTTTTCGGTGGCGGACACATTTTACGTCTGAAATTAAAATGTGTTAATATTGTATTTATCATTTGATTATTAGTTTTAAAATGTGTGCCTGTAGATTGCGAACAATTTGATACCAAGATGAATGATGAAGTATGGAAATTGAGGTCAGAACATTGGAAAGATTATACACATTTTAGTGTGGGTTGAGTGCTCCCGAGGAAAAAACAGGCCCACCTTGGGATGGGTTGAAGCGTGCATGCCAGGCGGAGTAAAGTGTTAAGGAAACACCAATATAGCTGGGAACAAAAACTCAACTGTCTTAAATGTGCTGGAGATAAGAAATGGCCAATGTTGAATTTTGACTACCACTGAATGGACTGGCTTAAAGGAATCCAGAGCCATGAGTGCACTGCAAGTCAACTACAACAAAGGAAAATTGACAGCAAGAAAGCAGTTGACAAACAGCATACAAAATTGCATAAAGTCCTGTCGTGAAGATGCTGGTCTCCGGTGGCAGGCGACACATATAGCTGTGGTCAGGAAATACACTAGAGTAACCTGCACCGTGTATGGAGGGAGATGGCACAGTATCTAATAATGAATGTCATCTGAGCCCGCTGCCATTGAACCGCAGAGGGTCAGGGCCAACTGGAGTTCCGAGAGAGAGAAGGGATCGTTATAGGGAAGCTGGAGATGTGTGCAAAAATCTAAGGGGACAAGATTCAAGAGGGGCTTACGAGTAAGGGAAGATGAGAACTGGAGCTAACAATCGAAAAGTTTGAACCCAGTTCGGTCCGAGCACAGTTTGCATTCCACCAGGGGAACACACGTCTGTGCACCCCGAGAGGTAGAGCAAGGAATAGAGTGGAGGGCAACATCAAGTATGGTGTCAAAAGAGAAGGGCTCGAGGGAGAGGCAGAGCAGAGAGGTCGGAAAGAGTAGCATTCAGGGTGAATAGATTTCACCCTGAATGGTTTATGCTCACTATACCTATTATAGGTATAGGTCAAGTAATAATTATAATTACGAAGCAATAAGATGCTTATCTTAACATACTAAGAAGGTTAGGTAAGGTCGGTGTTTTCTATGAAGCTTTTCAAGGTAAACTAAAATATTCACAATAAATTAGTATGTCACATATGCACTTATTTAATAATAAGTCAATATTGACTGTACAAAAGTGCGAGAACGGGTTGCCTTCTGTGGATGTCCCAGTTGTATCCAGTCCTGAAGTAAGACTTGGTGGAACTACAGTATATCCAGGGTTGAGCAGCTTTATCCCGTCCAATTTCCTGCATGACCACTTTGGCTCAAGTTTGCCTGCTACTACAGGCAAACTTGGGCCAAAGCTTGGATTGTGTCCTGGACACCATCCCCACCTGCCCTTTGCCAGCTTCCCCTTCGGGCCTTTTGGAATTCAATTCCACGGCACCACCCTTCTCAGTCACTGTGCATTCACAGATGCCTTAGCTCTGGGTTAGGGCTCAAAAGACCGTTGGTGAAAAGGTCGCCCAGAGTTATGGTCAGGTCCATTTGCCATTGGGTACAAAATATGGTGTGGGAGTTTTGTAGTCATTTCCACTTCTGGTTCCACTTCAACTGCTTTCCAGTGATTCCCTGTCTGAACTGGTGGGGGTCACTGTGTTGAGGTGGACACTTAACATAATATATATAATACAATATTTGCAAATACAATATTTGCAGATTCACTTTGAACTTAGACACGGTTTAAATTATTTCATCATGCATCTCGCATTGGTGGACATGATGAAAATACATCAGCTTTTAAACGTAAGACTTCGCTAAATTGAATTATGATTCAGGGTTAATTTACTTCTTAATAATAGTTGAAAATGAGAGAACCTTTCAACCTTAGAAGAATATTTTTGCAAATTTTGAAGATGGACAGTATCATGAATGCAAATTAAAGGTTATAGGAGAAAATAAGACAAAATTTAGCAGTATAAAATAAATATTGAATATATGCACAATTATTCCTATTGCATTCTAACATTTATGCTCACTTTTTGATATAGAGATAAATCAAAATGAAGTCAATTGCAACTACTCTTGCTGCTAATAATTACTTCCCTTCAACTATGTGATTTACTTGCCTACTGTGAAGATTTCTAGCACTGATGATGAAGTGCAATATTATCTAAGCTATCTTTCTTTTTTGTATTTGTAAGAACTTTTGAGTGGAACTGTTTTAATTAAACACCAGAGCCCATTAACCACTGCTGTGATGTACAACTAACTCTCTGAAGGCAAGAGAATGGGGCATATCCCTAAAGATAACTGGCCTGTCAAGGGTGCATGTCACACACTCTCTAGATCTTATATGCCTACTTTACATCCTCTAGAGTTTCCTCTACATTAGGCTATGTTTTACATACACCATTAATAAATAAGGCAACAAATACTACAAGTTTTTCACATGATGATCTTTACAATCCAATTACATAATATTTATTTAAATGTTGAAAATATTATAAAAGTTAATGAAAAATAAACTCTGAGCACTGTCCATAGCTCCTCAAAACATAAAACAGTAATTTCACAAGACAAATTTACAAACATTCTTTCCTTATTATGATTTATAGAAAGTAGAATGCATTTTTAAACTTAGTTTCAACTATCTGTATAGCATGAACATAAAATTATTAAAAAAATTAAAACTTCAGAAGAAAAAAATATAAGGCACAACACAGAGCATGACTATGACAAGCTCAATGAAGAGATCGAGTTGCCAGCCTGTAATCCCATACTACTTTGTCTCAACCTGCTACTGACAATGCAGAAAAGAAGCTATGTTACAAACTTGTGCACAAGTCTCAGATCAATTGTCTAGCCACCAATAATATTTCAAGTACAAACATAGCATGATCTGCCCTAGCATGCTTGAGACTTCTCAAATGACAAGATTACCAAATCTTTGTTAGTGGAACTACAGACAATGTCGATGCCTTGTCTTGGTTACAAACACCGCCTCTCACCCTTCATGACCAGGACCACAATGTTTGTTATGTTTAATTTGTTGAAATGTTAAGAGAAGAAATATGCTTGGGATGGATTATAGCAATATAATAAATCACACATTCAAGCATTTACTACAGTGGGCTTATTAGAATTATTATCATGAGATCCTTGCTAACAAGCCAAGATGAGAACAGCCAACACTGAACAGCAGACTCGTGTATTATAGAATGGATGCTCAATCACTCGACCACCTACTCACAGTAATTCTCCACTCAAAATCATGAATGCTTAAATGTTACATTGAGACGCACAACTATAACAGTGGCATGCTTGTAATGTATTTCCTTATATACAACTTGCTGCCTATGCAATGCCTTCACATCAGTTATCACAGAAAGACATAAGCTAATGGTGACAACATAAAACAACAACCGGCCAATGTCAGCCAACGTATCACTTCAGGACAAGAAAGATGCATGTGGTGTCACTTACACTTTATGGAAAATACTTGTTCTTCAGTAACACTTATGCAGATTGGCATCAACATCCAAACTGCTTTCACACATTTCACTCCTCTATAAAACAGGCCACATTTACTTGTACAGACACTAGGGTGACCAATGTTCTGTGCATTCACGCATCATTCTTTCGCTAGGTAGCACTGTGCTTTGTTGAGTACATTTGCACTTTCTCAAGCTATCACCTGGAAAGGCATAATATTTACTTTTAATTTAAAGCACTAATCTTGAATTAGCACACACATTTGGACAAAGACCTTTTTCTGTGTCATATGCATGAAGTCAATACCAAGGACTTCAGTTTTCTTAAATAATGAAACTAATATTGTAATTTCCTGTTTTTAAGCATTAAGTATCACGTAAAATTTGCACTTTGAAGTCAATATTAATAATTTCATATTACCCTTTCCTAAGATACATTCCACATGAGAGAAAAGGCCGACACTAAAGCATAACTAACTCCATTCAATTAATATAAACAAAATTTATGTAATTAAGAAACATTCTACACAACTTTAACCTAACTCAACTGATAAATTACCATTCAAGAATAATATACAAGCGTTTTTTAATTCATGTTTTCTCCAAAGAAAGATAATATTAATTTATAATTACAACTTATGAGAAGTCTTTGTTGAATATATTCAGCATTTTATACATTTTCATGAATCAAGGGTTTTAAAAGCTATTACTTAAACCTGAGTCTATAGTTCTTATTATTTTCTAATGATTAGTTAAGATGGAAGCCCTTCTCCCGAGTGGCTGCAAGAAGCCTCTCTTTCATTATGCTCTCCGAAGAGTAATCCGGCATCTTGAGGTAATGCACACAAGTATTCACAGATGGGTATGATCCATCTCCTGCATCGACCTGTGGATACACAAAATATTTCTGTAAAACATAGCAAAAACATTATTCATTAAGTAATTATTCGAGGTGAAAGAAAGACCCAATATATGTAGAAATGTATTAAAAACCAAATTTTTGGCTGTAACCTACATCCTATCTTGAGGATACTGTATACTATGTTCTGCAATTACGGTCATGATAAAACTGTCACCACCCCCAAATAAACATGCTAAATATTCCTCTAATAATAACTAGAAGATACTTCAGTTAAATTTAGCATCACAAGCCTATTAGTATTCAAAAACATTCTCTGGCTCTATTTATAAATTACTGATCCCGACTTAATAGATGTTTAGAATTTCTATATACAAAATCTCTGCGAGCATAAAACAGCCACTTATCACCTTAACTGAAATTTCAAACCTCTTCCCTCTCCTCCACCATAAACACAGACATATAGGGATAGGAAAAAAAAAGTCATTCAGTGCTTGGTAATCACAGACCAGTGTCAATTACTGTACTGGTAAATTTCTTGGGACAAAAATTTCTCAACATTTTACAACATCTTTTTACTATCGATTATTGTGGAGTTGGCAATATGGTTCAACCCTTTCTATGTTGGCAATATGGTTTTGCTTTTGTTAAACCTTTCCATTAGTGGCACCACTCAACTGGTGCCAGTGTACCACAATGTAGTTTGCTTGGCCTCTTGATGTATAATGTCTATTTTGTCAAAATGCCATAAACTATTATGCTGATGACCGTACTCTTACCTTTACATATACAAGAACAAATGCAAACTCCTACAGGATACTGCACTATGTGCAGCAAATTCCGTCTGGGATAGATAATTATAGGTTATGTTTGCAGTAGAAAACACATAGGCTATGATCATAACTAGATTACATGACACTGAACCTGGGATAAGCAAATGGGTTGGTAGAAAAAGCTAGTGATCGGTGATGAAGTTGACATCTTGGGGATGAAGTTTGACTCTTCAATGACCATGAAGAGCCACACATTGAACCTTGCAAATATGGCAACCAGGAAACTTAAAGCCTCAGGACATATTTCATACCTATCATTGCTTACCCATCAGTGACTATGGGGGAGTGAGATCTAGCTCTTTATGCCCTGCCTCCTAGTTGTTTATACATGACACTAATTACCTCTCAACATAAACATTTTCATGACATTTTTTCTTAAAGTTGTGGATGCAACTGGCTTCAACAACCTCTTACATAAATGCATTCCACTGTCTGATCACCCATACAGGAAACAAGAACTTCCTTGTATCTTTTCAACTCCATTGCGTGTCCAGCTTCCACTGATATCCCCTTATCCTACCTCTTTTTAATTTAAATAAGCTTCCTTTGTCCACTTTGTGTATTCCCATATAGATCTTGTAAGTTATATGCTTTTGGTTTCTTATCTCCTCTAGGATTGTGAGGGCGAGTTCTCTCAACCTGTCCTCATAGCTGAGGCCTCTCAATTCTGGTATTAATCTATTTACAAATGTCTACTCCCAGGTATTTTCCTCTCATCATTTCTTGTATTTCCTTCCCCTTATGGTATAGTTAACACTTCCGCACAAGTGGGACACAGTCCGCGTCCAAAATTTTTCTCACGGATGTTTGGCGGGGACGCACGTTGTGTCCCAAATTAAATTATTAGTTAAAATTCTAATTTTTATAAAGCCACAATGTCATGGCGTGGACGACTATCTTTCAAAGTTTATACAGTAATCCAAATAAACCTGATATGTATGGAGTAAAGCTGTACATGCTTGCTGAATCCACTACTGGTTACATATATGATTTTGGAGTGTGTGCCGGAATTGGGAAAACAACGACCGAGACGGTTATGGTCTTGATTGAACCCCTGAAGAACAAAGGTTATCATTTATATATGGATAGCTGCTATAACTCTCAGAAAAGCTGCTTGAACATGGGGTATACACCTGTGGTACTCTCAGATTGCAGCATGGTGCACCCAAAGATCTACAGCTCAAAGCAAAGGGTAAATTTTATTTTGCTGTTTGTTTATAACTTGTTTGCTACAAGTCTGGAAAATGGAGGGACACCAAATATAAGTGTAAGTCGTATGATGTGGCACTGTGTGCTGCACTATGCTCCAGCTTGTCCCATTTCAAGAGGACATACTGGGTGGATAAGCAGTAATGCTTACAACCAAGCCACTCCACCTATAAAACATGTGTTGAGAAACTTCAGAAAAAATTTTCCTGGAGCAGCTGGAGTGGTTCAATAGAATGCTCAACTTATGCTCTACAAACATTGAGTGGTAATGTTTGTAGAGCATTGAGTGGTAAGTACAGACATTGTTTCAATTTTGTATAAATATGATATTGGGGTTCATACTTTATCTTACTGGTATTGGTAATGTTGTTCTTCCATTTGCCCTTACTGTATGTGCATATGTATCCCTTTAGAGCATTCTATTGCAAACAATTTGATAACTCTTTATGTATAATGTCTATTTTGTCAAAATGTCAAAAACAGAACGAATGACGTAACACGAAAATTAACGGAATCAAACATTTCTGTAGGAGTGTTGAGGGTGTTGCAGGTGTGTCACTGGGTGTACGCTAACAGGTAACGCTTGACTGACTTTTGGCGTTGTTGCGGGTGGGGTGTGCCAGGGTTTTGGACATATGCATATATACCTGCAGGGAATTCTATTGCGAACACATTGATACTAAAGTGAATGATATAGCATGAGAATTGTGGTGAGAAAACTGAAAAAAGTACACACATTTTATCGCTGTTTGGCGCTCATGGCTAGTGATCACCCGATTTTTGTGCTTGGTGCGGGTGGCACACCGGGCTTTTGGACATTATAGGCCTATACTCCTGTGAGGAATTCTATTACAAACAATTTTATACCAAAATGAAACATATAAAACGAAAATGGAGGTGAGAAAACGGAAAAGAGTATACACATTTCAGTGTCGCCGAACGCTTGCCCCAAACGCCAGGACCTCATGCCCGGCGCAAAAGTGTTAAATACAGGTCTCCTATTTCTCTTACCCATATTCATTATTTTACATTTATTTGGATTGAATTCCAGCAGCCATTTATCTGCCCATTGCTGAAGTTTGTCAAAATATCTTGCAGCACCCTACACTCCTCTTCAGTTCTTACTCTTCAGCTCTTACTCTCTTCATTAACTTTGCATCAGCTGCAAACAGACATGTATGAACTCTCTCCCTCTATGAGGTCATTTACATAAATTAAAAAGAGTAATGATCATAGAACAGAGCCCTATGGCACACAACTTTCCATTCCACTCCAGTCTCCAACAATGACCCTTTGTTTCCTGTCTGTTAAGCACTCTTACCCAGTCTAGTGCTTTTCATCTTATCCAGGCTAGTCTCTCGATCTTGTGTATTAGTCTTTTGTGAGGGACTGTATCAAAAGCTTTTTGGCATTCTAGGAAAATGCATTCTACTCATCCTTCCTTCTCACCTTACTTTGGTGACCCTGCCACAATATTATATCAAGCTTGTTAAGCATGATGTATTAAGCAGAGGTTATAAAACCTTACATGAAGCACAAGTTCACTCCCATCTTGAGGATGTACCACTCCCCCCCCTTATTCATCTGAATTTTGCACAAGGTGGAGGATGGTATAAGACGACTCATCTCTAGTCTTGACTGAGTCTGGTTGGACCGGTCAGGTTATGTAAGGCCTTCTACACCAAAGAGATGTTGGTGGCCCTACAGTTATGTATATGGCCAATGTTCTCAAGAGTCCCCACCTGCTTCAGCTTTGTGGACAACCACAGCACAAAGTGCTTTGCCAGCAACAACCTTGTCTTGACGATACCTTTGTCAAGAACATTATTCCAACAGCGATCATTCATTCCTAGACTTGCACTTGAAACACATTCTCCAAATATGTAGATACACAAAATTATGTCAGCCAACCATATGAAGGCTCTGACACAAGGTTGGTGGATACTAATCATCAAATAAATGAGTTTCTAAGAGGAGGCTTCATATGACTGCTGTAGGAAAACAGCCTTTAGCTTGCTGTTTCACAAGGAACATCAGCACCATTCCTAATGAGCCCTAATCATGGTTAAAACAAAAAATGGAGGGGAAAAAGAACTATACACTGTATGCCAATTTGATCCCTTACAAAAGAAAAAAAGAGTGTGGAAAAATGATGGGGTTAAATTTGAAGGAAATAGAAAATTTAACTTAAAGACGTAATATAGGAAGAAATTGTTAGGCAAGCTTTTATTCAAGAAAGTGACCAGTTTTAGTGGGTGCTACAATAAAAATAACTGAAGAAAAATAATAACCATAAAACCAACATCCTTAAAGTAAGTTCAAGTTTAAACTCTTACCTTGCGTACTACTGTAAGGCGAGGATGAAGATTGGCGAGGCCACCAGGTGGCAATGAAGAACAGCCAGTGGTGAACTGCAGAAAGGCTTTACGTTCTTCTGCTGTTAATCCCACGAGAATGTTAACAAGTCTCAAAAAGCCAGGAGAGTCTCTAGTATATCCTAACTTAGGCTCGGTGTATGCCAGGATATCTTCACGAGTCCACATGGGTGCTTGGTCACCACAAAGCATAAGTCTCAGCTCATCTGGGCTAAATGCACCCAATTTTTTCAAAGGAAATACCTGGCAAAATCCTACCCGGAAAGCTTCCAATTGCCTTCTAATACCCACTTCTAAGGCCCAGTTAAGAGTAAGGTCAATATAATCTTCCACATTAGCAAGAGTCACTTCCTGATCAGCACCACCAGTTCGTAGCTCAATCGCAGTGTATCCCAAGTGTCTTGAGGGAGCAGCATATTGCATGGTCAGACAAAGATCTTCCAGTCTAACTGCTGGTGGCTCAGCTCCCTGAGTATCAGGAGTTGTTGGAAGAGCCAAATTGTGGAGTTGGAGACGTTTGTCATCTTCAGAGAGAATTGTGTCACTTAGGATTTGCTGCTTAATAGAAACTAGAGATTTGAGCTGCTGCATGAAAGTTCCTCGTTCTGGGTCAACCTCGCACACATCTTCCAATGTTAGAAGCCCACTGAACCTGATGGAAAAATATATAATTACCAATAAAATATATCAGAAATAAAGCAGGCTCTGAAAATCAAAATACCCGTACATTAAAAATGGGAGAACACGAGAGATTCTGAATTTAATGAAATGCCTCTTTCCTGCAGGTATGGGGTAGGATGCTCCTGGTTGGGAGGAAAGGGTAATGGAAGTTTCCGAGGTCCCCCAGAAAAATGCCTTTCATTACATTCAACATTGGTTTTCAGGAGTGACCAAAGGTGACACATTAACCAGAGAAAAGTTTAGCAATACTCAACAGGGGAGAAGAGCGAAGGCAAAACCCTTAAAGGAAGACACCAGGATGGGAAGCACTACCCAGGGAAATACAAGCCCAGTGGGAGGACCAGGGACACTGACCAGGTAACGAGCCGCCAGGACCTTCGAGCCTGAATATCAGCCCAAGACATAATACAAAATCCAACAGTCGGTGCTACACACAAACTTCCAAACATCATGGGCCCCTTGAATTGGGGATCAAGGCAACTAAATCAACAAACAATGCCTACCTACAAACCCAACATCAAATGTAATGAAATGCATCTTTCTGGTAGAGCCCTGGTGGCTCCCTGTAATTACCTCACCGAGACAACTACATACTACAGTGACATTGTGTGGGGGAAAAAAAACAGCGCTGAATGTAAAGAAACGCCATTTTCTGGGTGAGACCCGGAGGCTCCTGGGAGCTATCCAAGCTGATATGCTAATGTCAGACTTTGGCATCAGTCAGGTGTATGGAGTTGTGTGGGTCTACCGAGGACCACGAGCCAGAACCTGGCCCCCTCAGAAAGGCATGGGGAGCAATGGCCTATAGAAACCCCCGTGTGGTTAGAAGCATTCTATGTCGACCATCGACCGGGGTCAGGCACCCAGAAAGGAAAACGTCCCAAAACAAACCCCTATTCTGGTGAAAACTGCTACAAAAAGCCAAACAAGTGGAAAGAACTCTCCAAAAAGAAACTAGCAAACGCGCATGACGTCATAAGTCGCCACGCCACTGTCTGCGCAGCTCCCCCCTCCCCGGGAGGGGGAAGGGGGAGCCCCAGTTCCCCACGCCGGCCATCCACCCTTCAGTTCTGAGGCTGGACATCAAAACACGTGAAAAACCGCCGACTGGGGAAGAGAGGGATGCCGGAGGAGCCGCCGGGTCTCACCCAGAAAATGGCATTTCATTCCATTCAACGCCGGTTTTCTGGGGAGAACCCCTTCGGCTCCCCGGATCTAACTACCCACAGAGGTAAACATGAGGGACCTAACCCGGGAGGCGGAAGTCACACACACCCAAATGGGAAGAGGAGACAATACTGCAACTGCCAACCCAAGACCACACACAGGACCGACAAGGCCCAGGAACAGCAACGAAGGAACACAGAGCCAACCTACGAATGACTAGGGCATGGAGAAGGAACTTGAAGAATGAAGATGAGGAACGAGGAAGACAGGCAGTAAATGGGAACGAAAGGGGCATGACCAACAACACACACAGGCCATGTAGATGTCGGGTGAAGACAGGTGAGAAGCGGGACCAAAGACCCAAAGCTCAACCCCCGCAAGCACAACTAGGTGAATACAGAGAATCCAATGTATATGGAAGGGCTAAGCCAAGCACTGCAAGACGGGCAAGGAATGAGTGACCAAGATAAGACCACGAAAAACGGGGCCATGCCCCAACGTGTAACAAAGAACACAGACGAACAAGGAAGGCCCCAAGAGGAAGCACGCAAGGGCCAAACAAAATGCCACAACCAATCCCCAACACACATCCTCTGTACCAAAACTGCATCAGAATGTTACCTCTTAACTTCCTGATACAGCTTAACATGTACCTCCACCACTTTACCTCGTAACATGGTGGATGAAGGGTCCTGTGATTGATTCAAGCATGGGGTAGGACTTGTATAAGAACGGGAATGGGCGGTTATAATAGGAGCTGCATCATATGGGCCAATAGGCCCTCTGCAGTTACCCTTGTTCATATGTTCTTATCCAAAAACCATGAACCAGCGCCTGGCCTAATGAGATGCCCGACCGCATAAACTCACCTGCAGAGCGTAGGCACGAACGTGTCACAACACACCGTAGCCGGATGGATGGTGAGGTGACTGGATGGATGGATGGAGGTCTTAAGACTATAATATGGTGTGTATATTAGTGACATGAATATATTTGTGCATACCAATGTTCCACACATTGTTTGACAAATTCCACTACTGACATCCCAATAGACAAATCCAATGAAAAGAAACATTGAAGAAACACTGAAAATATGATCAATAATATATTGAATGTACACGTCAACCCCACCCCATTTGAGAGTGTCCCGGCCACGTGTTTACTCAACGTGCGATCAAGATTTTATGCTGCCATTGGGACTTCATTGCTTTACTATTGCCAGACAATTTACTTTCATTTAAGAATTATTTTTTTGGGGGGGAAGGGGTGGGGGGGAACATTATTGAATTCCTCTTGAAATGCTTGCACAGTGCAGGGGTTAAGGTACATGGCAGCTCTTGAATTTGCACGGTATTGTAAAATGTAAATTCGGTTTCATGTAAATAAGTCTTTTTATACAAAGATTTGAAATAAAAAGATGAATTTTTATGTTACACAGATTAACACATTAATTATCAGTCGAGCCATGAATCTACTGAATTATAGGCAGTATGTTGGGCTCTCCACCCCTCCCTACATTTACATTTCTAATTTAATATTTCTTGTTTAACTAACCTTTTCAATTATATTCTTGAGTCACTGTATTGGTACAGTATTTGTGGTGAAAAGTGAAAGTTTTAAATAATTATGTTCAAATAGGTGATTCAATGAATCACAACTGAAAAAGTGGACTCTTGGAGTTCTCAGAAACAAAGCCTTTTTTAATCCCATACACAGTACAAGTTTGATTTGTGCAATTACATATTTATACAAGCTTTAAAGGAATGAAACCACCGAGCAAATCAAGATTTGCCCTTATTCGGTGTTGTTTTACTGATGACATAATTTGTTCAAATATATAGATAAAATATTGTAAAAAAATATTTTTTATAACAAAAATTCTCACCATGGTTGAGTATCCAAGACACGATACTTGGGAGGGTCCAACTCGAGCTCTTTTTCACTCTCTTCACTTATTATGGAAGAGGTCATAAGGTCCTCTTCTAATGGTAAGGAAGAAAGTCCTCTGGGTTTAGTAGAACTTCCTGCAATGCCTCGATCCTTCACATTGGCAAACTCACCATGACACATGAGTTTGAGGAAAGGACGAGACAAAGGTAGGTCAACGAGTCTATTGTCCTGTAAAGTTTTTGCCAAAAATATCCCCAGAAAATGAAATAACTCTACTACTTGATCACAAGCTGTGCTGTCCTGGGGAAGGGGAGCAGGAAAGAGACCTCCCTGTCTGCAGATGTAATACCCTGGAGGTCTTGTTTGTGAATCCCCAGTACCATTACCACCATCTAATGCTGGAGGAGTGATGGGGTCAGCAGTTTGATCATCACATAACCACATTGATAGATCTGCTCTCTGCAATTCTCCAGCCACAAGAGCATAAAATTCCAAGGTAGGACCTAAACCAGTTCCTTCCTCCTCACGAAACTCGACTTCCAATATGGACTTTCGGCTAGCATGGACACGCATCACCTAAAATTATAATAAACGTTGGGTAATTTTAATTACAAAAGATGTTAAGCAACTAATAAGCATGTGTAAGTGAAATGAGCACATTGTAAAATTATTTACTCATTATCAAGGAAGCTGCATGTGCTGCTCATGCAGCATATAGAAGATTTACTGTACTGCAGTATGATACAGAGTTAACTTTGTACTAGTTATAAGATTATTAAACAAGTTCAGAATTACTTTGTCACAGCTTTTAACAATTATCAACATCACACAATAACTTGATCTGGTTATGCAAACGATCTAATTGTTTCACAATATGATTAAAATATTGTTAAAAGTGTTTTCCCATTTATTAAAATTTTTAGTCTCACCTGCTGAGCCCACTGAAGAAGATTTGAGCCACGAGGCACAGTCACTCTCTCGTGCTTTAGGCGTCCCACTCTGTATTCATGAGGGTCATCTCTTCTGAGCCCTCCACGCCGCTCCACACTCACATCCCGCTGACTCTGAAGCCACACTAATGATCTGAAATAATGAAGACGTACAGTCAAATATAAAAGCAGTTATTTAAATCTTAAAACCAAAATTTTTTTATATGAAGGTTTTTCAAATTAAATGTTATAAGCCTAAATAAAAAATAAGTAAATTTTATAAATATTAAGAAGAACCAAAACGAAAATCCAGCGTTGAATGTAAAGACATGACAATTTCTGGGTGAGCCCCTGTGGCTCCCTATAGCTACTACCACTGATAGTGTACCAACTACTTAGGTCACAGAGTTCTATAAGTCTACCGGGGACCAGCGCCATAAACCTGGTCCCCTTCACAGACACACAAGGAGCAGTGACATTTTTATTTATATATTTATTTATGCCACCAACAGGTAAGGCACCAAGAAAGTCAGCAAAACAAAACAGACTGTTGCTAGCTTCAATCAAGACTCTGCCTTGAGAACCACCAAAAGAACTCCCTTAACAATGTAACCAAACAATCAAAATCTCTTAGAACTAGCACCAGCTCATTTGCCTCATTTTCCCACTTGTTTGGAGGTAGGGGGAGGCGGCTCTTAGTCAGCCGGTGAGCCCACCCTCAGTTGTATGCTGATGTGTACTTGCCTAATTGTGCCTCACCTAAAAATCCCTTCTAATGTCTCAGTGGCTTTTTTGGGTACTCAGTTTCCACTTGTAATTACCTAAGATGCAGGACGAGAGCTACACTCATGGTGTCTAGTCTTCCCAGTAATCCTTATCATATAACGCTTTGAAACTACTGATGGTTTTGGCCTCCACCACCAAAACCACTGTATCCCTTTGTGCGTGTTGGTCCTATGGATGATATCACCTCCGAAACTGCTCTCACATAGTGAGAGGTTTTATGTTGCCCATGCCATGTGACAAAATTCATTCCTTCTGCCTCCCCCATGCTGCCTGTTGGGTCAGTGTCACCTTCGATCAGCAGTCCTGCGGGTTTGTTCTCCCCATGTTATACCCTTTTCTGACCCTTCCAATGAAGGGTCTTCACCTCTTTGCACACACCTCTTTGTGTGCTAGATTTGCTAGGTTGTGTGCCCAGTTGGAGGCCCTGAAGCTGCTCCATTTGGTGATTAGGGATCTGGATCTGGAGGCGTTTGTAAACTTTCCCTAGGTTCTGTTCATGCCACGCCTCCTCCCTCTTCGAGCATGGTTTGGCCTTCCTCTGGTTCTTTCCCCCTGCTTCCAGCCCTGAAGTGACTAGGGTTTTTCGGCTGGGGACAGGGCACGGCATTGTCAGTTCTGGGGCTGCCCCTTCTGATTTGGGTGAGCAGGATGTTGAGCCTGCTAGTCCCACAAAGGCTTCTGGGCATTCTTTTCAGCCAGCCTCTTCTTCTTGTGAAGCTTTTTCCCCTTGGACTCCGACTTTCTATCCAGGATGGTGGGCTCGAGTTCTGCCTCTGCCCTGGGACTCTCTGCTACAGCATCTGGGGCTTTAGGGGAGTTGGATATGAGCTCTGGGATCCCTTTTGATTATACATGGGTCCCTGGTTCCCTTTGAGGAGGGTCTTCTATTGCAAGGAGTGGGGTTCTGATATGTCCCATCACTGTATGAATATAATTTGGATGTGGATCCCCATAGGGTTCATTACTGTGTGCCTTTGGGCCTGTTGAGGTTTCTGTCTTCTTGAGTCCCTCCTGCTGCAGCTCGGGAGGGCCTATTATGTATCTCGTGCAAGACCCAGATTACGCCTTAGAGATAGACCCTTTGCCTTTTGAGTTTGGGTTCTCTTCCCAGTTTTTGATGCACTACGAAGCTCTGGAGTCTTCCTGGTTAGTTTGCAATTCCTTATTTTCGCTTGGTGCAGCTTTTGTCATACCAGCAAGCTGGAGGCAGGTGGTATTGGCTGCATTTCAGGTGTTTCTGGGAGCTCTGTTTTTTGAGCCTCTCAATGGCTGCCTGTTTGCCCCCACTCTACTCTAGGATGTGGGTTGTGCCGTTTCTCTGTTATCTGGTGGCAGATTACCTTTTTATCCATGCACACCTGGGTTCCTGTCATGTACTTCATGGGGCTTCTTGAGCTGCATTTCGATTGGCTCAACCTAACATATTACATTAAGAGAATGGTTTTAATCAAATACTGTATAATGTTTATGTTTAACTTTGTTATAATTCATGTTGATGGAAACGTGAATAACACAGCTTTCAAAAATATAAATATTTATACCTCTGACACTTTGGATTAACCATATAACCACAAATTAGTATTTAGTAATAGTATTAAAATACATTCCTACCTCTCGGGACCAAAAGCTGTGCAATTGAAATATAGATGTCTGGTATCAAACGGGAAGAGCATTGGGGTGGCATAGGTGAGATCCTCGCACCATGATGGTAGGGCACCACATGCTAGGACTACAGCTTCACCAACCTATTACAAACAAACAAAAAATTATTTGATGACTACAGTACCGTACACTATATTGAAAGTATTTTTTGAAAAGGCTAAAGATACTTTTAAAGTGCAATAAGCTACACATCTTGTGTAGCTTATTGCACTTACAACCCAAAACTGTGGCTCTCTTGTAAAAACGAGCCACATCCAGATTCTCAGATTATGTGGACCCATTACCTGTAAAGTTTTGGGGCTATATGGAAGTGGTGGTACACAGTTACACCAAACACAAATTTTATGTTTGGTGTAACTGTGCCCAAATTTTATTATCTATGATAATAAATTTTATTATCCCCCCCCCCCAAGTTGTTTTGGATATTAATGACTCTCAAGGGCCTGGTGCGATATGATGAGTTTGGAGCTATACAAGTGGTTAGTGACAGGAAGCCACTGTGGAGCCTTACTAGAAAAACTGTCAATAAGCCAATGTTGCTATTGTTTCACAACTAGTAAGAACACATTATAGCTATTTCTAATATTACAGAATATACTTGACTTGCAATATATAATAAATCCCGAGAAAGTTGTGTAAAAATGTACACACAAATGTTCTCTCGGACACGTGAGCGGTGATGGTTAAATTAGGTTCCGAGTATGAGTTTGTAAATGCATCGACAATGGCAAAGACATTTTTTTTAATAATTTTTCTTGTAATTAATGAAGCAGTCAAAGTGTTAAATTAACAAGGCTTTTGGAGGTTTCTTGCTTTATGGAAGAATCACATTAGAAATGCTACTTCAGTTAACTTCAAAACTGAACAAGATTCTAGACTGCAATATTTAAGACTATGATATGTCACAGCCTCAAATATTACCGGCGCATTTGATAGGGTCTGGCATAAAGGACTGGTGCATAAGATTAAGAGACTGATCTGATGGATCTTCTGCACTTAATTGAAAATAATGTAAGTAACCAAAATTCCAGTCTGTCAACAGCAATCAGTTATCCCATAAATGTGCCACAGAGCAAGTGTACCCAAGGATATCGTGATTGAACCCCCCTGTGAGACAGAGAGAGAGAGAGAGAGACAGAGAGAGAGACAGAGACAGAGACAGAGACAGAGACAGAGACAGAGAGAGAGAGACAGAGAGACAGAGAGAGAGACAGAGACAGAGACAGAGAGACAGAGAGAGAGACAGAGAGAGAGACAGAGAGAGACAGAGAGACAGAGAGAGAGACAGAGAGAGAGACAGAGAGAGAGACAGAGAGAGAGACAGAGAGAGAGACAGAGAGAGAGACAGAGAGAGAGACAGAGAGAGAGACAGAGAGAGAGACAGAGAGAGAGACAGAGAGAGAGAGAGAGAGACAGAGAGAGAGACAGAATATCACAAAAATTAACACGTGATGAAAAATGTGAGTGTCAGACCACTGAAGAAGAATTGAAAAAGTACTTAAGGAAATTCCTGTTTCAATTCTTCTTACATGGTCTGACACTGTCATTTACAGATTATTATTATAATATACATATATATATATACATATATATATATATATATATATATATATATATATATATATATATATATATATATATATATATATATATATATATATATATATATATATATATATATAGCCAGAACGCATATACTATATATATTATATATATATATATATATATCGGCTATATAATATATATATAGGTTATATATATATATATATATAACTATATACATATATATGGGTAGGTTTATCATTTATATATAATTCAGGTATATGCATAGTAGGCCAAAAAGTGCGTTCTGGCTACTAGGTACGACATATATATATATATATATATATGTATATATGTATATATATATATATATATATATGTATATATATATGTATATATATATATGTATACATACATACATACATACATACATACATACATACATACATACATTTCCATTATTCACTTTTCACATAAATAAATAAAAAAATCATGCCTACCTGTTGGACTAGTTTGTTACCAACTTTTTTAGATTCAAACTCATCACGGCGTACCCCAAATGCATCCACAACTTGCCCAGATTTATCTGTAATTAAAAAAATGCCATTGAATATAATGAAACGCCAGTTTTGGGTGAGCCCCGGTGGCGCCCTGAAGCTATATGCTGAGATGGTTACCATCTACTGGGTCACATCAGCTGTAGTGTTCTAGAGGCCTACTGCAAATCCAATCCAGAACCCAGCCCCCTTCCTCAAAGGTGCAGGGAGTATTGACTTTTTTTTTGCCACCTCACTGGGAATTCCAAGCAGAAAGTCAGCAAATCAAAAGCTACTACTGGAGTTAAGTGAGACCAAAGTCTCTAAACCAGCTGCAAAAGCTCCTCCAACTATGTATCAAATGATTGAATTCTCTCTAGAACTAGAGAGAACTAGAACTAGAAATTCTCTAGAATGAACTAGCACAACAGATAAGGTAAGATAGCTCACTGCCTGCCGGGATCTGAGCTCCCGGTTCTAGAGCAGAAGTAGACATCCAGCCTATGAGTTGGAAGAAAAGGAGTGGATTAGGGAGCCACCAGGGCTCACCCAGAAATTGGTGTTTAATTACATTCAATGCTGGTTTCTTTGGGGAAATCCTTGTGGTGCTCTGAAGCTAAATACCCATGATCAGAAAACATGGCAACTTACCAGGGAGGAGGCAGCACTGCAGGAATCAGGACAAGGAAAAAAAAAAAAAAAAAAAGACTCCCAGCTGTGAGACACGACAAAAAGCCACAAAAAAGCACAGAGGTCCGGGAACCTTCACCAAATGGCAGCTCACCCTGTTTGACCTATAAAATCCCCGCACCCAAATTTCAGCCAAAGACAAGTTTGAAAACGAGGCCGAAAGTGTGGCATGATTCCGAACTTAATGAGCACGAGGGCAGACCCTAGGCTAGCTAAACTTAATTACACTGCAGACTACCTGGGAAATACAAGCCTTGGAATAGGGTACCAAGTTAAGAGGATCAACCCACAAGGCATCCAACAAAGCAGAATTCATGACACAATGGAAGTGCAGGAGAATTGCCACCAGACACAACACATGAAGTACTCCCGGCTGAACCAACCAAGCCTCAATGACCAAAGAACCCCCTCTGGAAGTCAACTAACTCGTTCTTTGCAATAAAAGGAGCCAGCAGCAAATGAACATAATGCTCACCTAACCCTGCCTCTGGAGAAAACTAGGAAGCTCCCCAACCTGACAACCAGAGGCAAGAGAAACCGGAAACAAAGCCTTAGAAAAGAAAAAAAAAAGGGGACACAGTGAAATGGGAAGAGGAAAGAAAGTAACTACACAGTCCAAAGACCAGGCAAGAGGTGAAACTAGGCGCAAGACAGATTGTGAAACAGTGCCAAAGTAGTATCAACATAAAATGCAAGCTGTAGCGACTCCACCAGCAATGCATGATATGAGGCAACAGTATTCAGTATACCTGGTTGGTTGATACCTGGTTGATGGGGATCTGGGAGTTCTTCTACACCCCAAGCCCAGCCCAAGGCCAGGCTTGACTTGTGAGAGTTTGGTCCACCAGGCTGCTGCAGCGGCCCACAGGCCCACATATCCACCACAGCTTGGTATGAGATACTGATCAAGAAAAAGCCTAGAAATAAAGCCCTGCAAACACACAATGTAACTCTCCCTATTTTCTGCTTGTTAGAACTGCAATAAAGTTGTTACATCTTGTTATAACGCTTTTATGACGTATTGGAACGTTGTTACAACTTACTATATTGATTGTTACAATTTCTTTGGTGTTAAACCTTGTTCGAAAGTTGTAGTAACGTCGTAGTTTCGTTGTGTGTTTGGCGGGAGGAGAGCACCACACTTGGCAACCAAAGAGCAACCATGAAGAGAAATGAAGAGGTGAAAGGAGTGCCATGAAATTTCATTCTGCCACCAAGAAAAAGAACGCAGATGGGACACCATCAAGAAAGCCGCCTGTTCACCATAAAGATGACGATATAGATGCGCAAAAAGTTCCAGGAGCAAAAAGTGGAGGAGGAGGTCAAACCAGTGAAGTACTTCACAGAACAGACCCTCTGATAGAAGCAGAGCCATGGAAAAATGCCCAGGTTCAGACACCGAGCAAGCAGTGCCTGATAACTCTGACTCTCAAGCACTGGAAGCTGCAATTAAGGGCTCCGGGTTGGAGCTTGTATTCACGATGCCTACCGCCCAGGATAGAAAAGCAGAGTCCAAGGGAAAGGCTTCAAAGGATGGTTGGGCTGGCTGAAAGGAAGATCTAGAAGCCTCGTTGGGACCTGCAAATCAAAGGTTTCTGTTGATCCATGGGACCACCGAAACTGCAGAGGATTTTCAGAGACAAAGATAAACTACATAGGACACACAGGCACTTGGATTGTTATGCCAGACCAAAAAATAAGCCCACACAGCATGCTTCGTGCTGATGTGAAGGCCGACCACGTCATGGCATAAATGCTGAATGCACACACCCTCGGTGTGCCCCACCAGCCAATTTAGCTCCCAAATGGGACAAAGGCAGTGGGCCAGGAACCCCTGACTTACCCATGCAGAGGGCCACCTGAAGCAAGGAGGACCTCTAAGGGAGTGATCACCAAACAAACCAGAGAAAAGAACTCTCAGTGCAAAGGCAGCACCAGGGAGAACACAGGAATGAAACCCTGAGCACATGCAGTGCCAGTAACAAAATCTCACTCACGCTACATCAGTGCAAAGGAAGGCTGCCAAAAACAACACCACACCACTTAGCTGAATAACAGGACACCTAAGCCAGAACGGGAGAGTGACGACCTGGTAACCACTACATCAGCATTCAAAATGGAAGCTCAAGTCTTGGCAGGCAATGAGCAACCCCGCCGTCCCCTTCCCCCAAACACGTGGGGAAGGTGGGTGAATAAGCTCATGCTAGTTCCGAGAGAATTTGATCCATTGTTTACATAGTTGGAGAGGGTACGGGGTTCTTTTGGCCAGTTTTAAATCTTCACTCTCTTAAATCCAGCAGTAGTTTGTGTTTTGACTCACTCGCTTTCTGGTTGCCTTACCAAGTGAGGTGGTAAAAATAAATGTCACCACTTCCTGCGCCTCTGTGAGGGGGAAGGTGTGGCGGGTTCTGGCTCCAGTCCCTAGTAGGCCTCCAGAACTCTACAGTTGATGTGACTGAGTAGATGGTAACCATCTAAGCATATAGCTTCAGGGTGCCACAAGGGGCTTTACCTAGAATATGCCATATTATTCTATTAAGAACACTAATACAAAACACATGAATTTAAATGGTTTCAGAAGATGATGCACTTCACAACTAATAACAAAAGATGCAGTTTAATATTACCAATGATAGCACACAATAAGTAAATCTGAATACAACTAGGAAGTCATGTTTCCTTTAAAGAATCCCTTGCCATGTTGGATATCTTTACATAAAAATTTCTCCAGCTTCTTCAAAACATATGAAAAGCATTTGAAGAACTTCCTTAACTATCCACATGAAATGTAATTCATCAAAATACAAATAACAAAAACTGGAAATATACCTTTATCTTCATGAGCTAATATATACAGCTGGCGCAGGAGTTGTAACACATCTTCAACTGATGGATCACCCATTGTCAATGTACTGGCAGGAAGGGCTGGATAGCCACAGCTTTCAGTCAATATATTAGTCCTTGAATTACGACGATTGAGTAGTTGAACACCAGAGATTTCTCCTTCAATACCCTCATCTTCTCGTGCCTCACCATATACAAGCCTGTTTAAAAGTAGGTTCACCATATACATATTTATGTTACAAAAATAAACACACAGTAACTATAACGGAAAGCCTCTAGCTGGGGAAGCAACAGTGGCTCCCTCTTGCTAGCCACGCTGAGATAGCTCCACACGTACATTACAAGTCATATCAGCATTAGGAGTCCTTAATAGCTAACCAGAGATCAGACCATAAACCTGCCTGCCCCCCCTCCCTCCTCACAGAGGCACAGGAAGTAGGGGATTCAAGATCACCCTCAGTGAAGAAATCCCCCTAAAATGAAGCAAAACAAAAGAGAACTGCAAGGTTCATAAAAGGGAAAAAGCTGCAAATGACTCCTCAAATGATCTACCCAGTAATTAGGTCATACCTCTTCTAATTACCATTGCCCACTGCCAAGTGGCAGCACCATGGAAGTTTGCCAGTTCAAATCAACAACGATCTCGTAGGGATAGATGGCTCAGGAAGCCACAGAGACTCCCGAAGAGAGAGAGAAGCTGTCATTATGTTTAACCTCTGGGCTGCAACCCCTTACAATAGCCGACATGCCCCAAGTGCGCAAGAAAAAAATTCTTGTGATGATGTAAAGATTCATGAGCGTTCATTGAGCAATTACCCCAGGTGGGAGTTGCCACAAAGATATTATTACCTAATTATTTCAATGTCTGATTATTTTTTTTTTTTTTTTTTTTTTTTTTTTAATATTTTCAATTTTAGGAGTAATATTATTGAATCGCTATACTCAAATGTATGGTGTGCATATTAGTGATTCAATTATTATGTTCATAAAACAATAAACAAATATATTTGCTGTTATTACACTATATTCACACAGGTTATATATAAGTATCTGCATGTTTTGTTCGCCATAACGAACAAAGTCAAAGGTATGGCGAGTCAAAAAGCAACGAGGAATGGCCGCCACATCAGCCAGCCAGCCAGCCACTCCCTCCCTCAACAACACCTCACTCGCCAACAGTCTCTTCCCACCATACTGTTTTTGCTGTTATTCACTATATACAAACGTTATATATAAGTACCTGCATGTTTTATTCTCCATAACTGTACAACTAAGCTGGTATTGTGGGTTCAGGCAATATAAGAGACGTTGCCCCACACACAGCTGGCGGCTGCCTCCCTCACTGGTTCAAGGCCAGATGCACAATTTTCTCCAACAATTTTAGTGGTGTTATTACACTATATATACACACACACATTATATATAAGTATCTATATGTTTGATTTACCATAATTATACAACTAAGCTGGTATGGTGCCCAAAGAGCATAGTGGCCACCCTCTACACAGCATGACAAGTTATGCAGACGATGCCTCCTCCATCATCCAAATGGCTCCTCCTAACATACTCCTTTTGCTGTTATTACACTAATACACACATAATATATAAATATCTACATTTGTGTTCACCATAGCAAACCACTAAGTTGGAATGGTGACTGCAGACAACAGGTGGCCGTAACACAGATTCAGCAGACGACGCCACCTCCCTCCCTCAGCATTACTCCTACCACACAGCATTAATTATCTTGAGGTTATCATGAGATGATTTCGGGGCTTAGTGTCCCTGCAGCCCGGTCCTTGACCAGGCCTCTTTTTTGTTACACACCCCCAGAAAGCAGCCCATAGCAGCAGCTGTATAACTTCCAGGTACCTATTTACTGTTAGGTGAACAGAGGCATCAGGGTGAAAGAAATTGTCCATTGGTTTCTGCATACATCGGGGATCTAACCCGGAACCTCTGGACTACGAATCCGAAACGCTGTCCACTCAGCTGTCAGAGTCCCCTATAATTATCACAACAATTCTGCTATTATCACAATCCTGGTCATTTATTATCACAGTCAGGGGTTTTCTGTAATACTGTCATCGCTAAATAATAGCAGTTACATATTTATTTTGACATTTTCAGGTGATGCTGTAGTCACAAGCTAACAGCAGTGCTGTTAGCTTATGCTGCATATACACCAGCCTTGGTTGCTCACACAGTACTGTGGCTCTCACACCGGAGAACGTTGCCCATGATTTTTTTAAACATGGCATCTGTTTACAAGAGCCCTGAGGAAGCTGATGTTAACCCCATGTAGCCTCAGGCCATTTGAATCATGGCTAGCACCCTACGTCATATATGTATGCCATGCGCCCGGTGGGACATGTTACTCCGGTCAAATATATATGCCATGCGCTAGTTTTCTGTAAAGAAAAGCTATCAGTAAAGAAACTATCTAGAAAATTAGATAGTTTTCTTCAAGAAGTGCTGGACCAACCGGGCTGTGGTGGATATGAGAGTCTGCGGGCCGCTCCAAGCCCGATAGCCTGTTGGACCAAGCTATCGGCTTGGGGAGTAGAACAACTCCCAGAACACAACACATTAACTCTCAACAATAAAATATAGAGGTATCTAATAATTTGACCTAGAAAGTCTAGTAGCATTTCATTCATATTGATTAACAATTTCACATAATTTTTAAAAAGTTGAAATGTACATTGTACAGCATCAAAAACCACAATTTTCGAAAGCCAAAAACTACATAAGTATTTCAAATCTATATAATTTACAAGTCTGGTATTCAGTCAAATATTTTATATGAAGTCATAACACTTCTTATATCATTCATATATTTTAGCTCAATTCTGTCCTCGCATCTCAAATGATGTGGGCAGATTTAATTCATATGTAAAGTACATAATATTCAAGGTAGCCTTACGTGTATGTGGGCTCCCAGATTCGTCTCAATCTTTCTTGTCGGGAAGGAAAATTGGCAGTGTGGACCAAAATTTGGACGGCAGCAAATATTGTGGAGGTTTTCTTGGTAATTGGTACTTCAACTTCTGGAATGCCAGGGAGGTTAGGACCCCTCAGAGTTAGACTAAGTCGCGGACCACTGACTACTTCACTTGGAGTATCACATAAATGGTCTTCTGTACCTGGGGCAGGAATCTCCAAATCTGAAGATAATATAAGCAAAACATTAATTCAATAATTCTGAAACTTTTAAGCATAAGTAACACTAATGAACTTCTTAAATTAGATTTGTAAGACTGATTTTACAGTATACAGTTGACTATCGAGTTCTGTGTAGCAGCATTTCATTCACTATTCACTTTCATACAAATACAAAATTTAGACCATATATCAGTTTTGTAGAGTTGTGCCTTATACATGCCATTATGACATTTGTTCAAAATCCATAATTAGCTCTTTAAATGCATAAATATAGGTACAGTACTGAATTGAATAACAATTTCAAGCCAAAAATAAGGTTATGATAATAAATGAATAGCTTATGGAGTAGGCTACTCGGTTGCAACATTAGGCAATGTCCTACATCCATAAGGACATGACCAGGCAACAACCAACAATTCCTCCACAAGATCTATTCAACTGCCATACCCACCCCACTGCCAGGTTATTAACCTTTCCAATGCACGACACTGCTTGGGTTGATCTCAAATATTTTATGATATTATATATAAACTGTGCAACATTCTTGGGAATTTTAATGTACCATGTAAGATTTACAACTCCTACAGGTCATCTGCTGCTTCTGCTTCTTCAGGCCTGTAATAAACAGATGCTATCTTGGAAAAAATCGTGAGGACCCCTGCTAGGTGTGAGATGGCATCTGTTTACTGCAGGCCTGAGGAAGTAAATGTGAGCCCCGTGTACTCACAGGACTTTTAATTCTTAAACGATACTTTAAATTGTCCCTCACTGACTTGCACAATCGGGTAAAAAATGGTGAGATTGTCCTAATTGACACATGCATATGAAGGGTTAAATACAACTCACTCAGCTTCACTCATATTCACAAAAATTAAAAAAAACTTGAGATAATTTTTATATAGTATAGCATTGTATATATATATATATATATATATATATATATATATATATATATATATATATATATATATATAAATAAATAAATAAAAGCAAGAAACTACAACAAAACTTAAAGATTGTGTTTAGCACAAAAAGATTCAATAATTTTTTTTTGAGTTATTTCTATTTTTTGGTTACATATACTTATGTATACATACTGTACCATACAGAAAGACTTCATAGCTAACCTTGTGTTTGGTTAACATTAGTGCGACCTGGACGAGGATCAAATGCTGGAATGAGTGCTGGAAACTGTCTCTTTATCACGAAGTCATCATCCCAACCTCTTCTCTTGCCATTGCGAACCTGGTGAAAATTTGTGATCTAAACTACTATGAGGCTATGATCTATGTCCTATAATCATTAGACAGAAAAAAAAAAAAAGGTTATCGAGACAGTTTTGAGACAGAGCTATTGGTAAGACTAGCAAAGGCAGTTATAATTAAATTCGAAATCCATACAAAAATTCAAGAAGTTACTTTTGTAACAATGAAGGATAAAGAATAAATGCTATGAAGATATATACAGTACTATATTTATCAACAACATTAGAGGAGAGAAGCGAGTCAAAGGTCAATACTAAAGATAGAAAGAAACAAAGGTGTGAAAGCTGGAGACATCATTATCATACAATAATATTTCTTAACATTTTCCCGCTCTCGGTGTGTGTGCCTGTACCCACCCCAAGGCGGGTTTGGCGATTCGTACCCGTTTAACGATGCATAAGCAACAGGGCTCCATTAAGGAACATATAATCTCTTCCCACAAACAATCACCAGAGAAATCTTAGCAAACAACACAGAAATCATCGATAGATACAGCGATAGCAGGCGGCTTGACGTCTGCGAGGCACTACACATCAAGAAGTCAACACCAGCAATCAACAGCCAATTAATGCACAACTATATTCTACCCACTTCAAGACTCCGCTCCAATATAGAAGCATCAAGAAATATGGACCAATAGGCTTTCTACAATTACTTCCATTCAATACCCATTGTTTCGTGTTCTGTCTTGTGTTAGAATTTAATACCCATTTAATACCCATTGTTGAAAGTTCGTTTTCACCTCATCCACCTCACCCAAATGTAGATATAAACTCGAAGATGTGCAAAGCTCTATTCAGTTTCAGTTGTGTGTTTGTAAACTAAAGTCTTTGAAAATGTAATAAGTTTTACGAAACGCGATCAAGTGTCGCGTCAGACTATAAACAAAAATGAATTTTGGAGAATTGATCTTTGAATTACCATCAACAGTGAAAAGAAACGTAAGAAAGATAGAGAAAATTCGGGTTAGAATTATTAATCTTACTTTTTCGGTCATATTTAATAATATATGTCTACATATATATATATATATATATATATATATATAAAGACTGCTACCAAAATATACTAAAATAAATAAATAAATAAATAAATATATATATATATATGTCGTACCTAGTAGCCAGAACTCACTTCTCAGCCTACTATGCATGGCCCGATTTGCCTAATAAGCCAAGTTTTCCTCAATTAATATATTTTCTCTAAATTTTTTCTTATGGAATCATAAAGCTACCCATTTCATTATGTATGAGGTCATTTTTTTTCATTGGAGTTAAAATTAACGTAGATATATGACCGAACCTAACCAACCCTACCTAACCTAACCTAACCTATCTTTATAGGTTAGGTTAGGTTAAGTAGCCGAAAAAGTTAGGTTAGGTTAGGTTAGGTTAGGTTAGGTAGGTTAGGTAGTCGAAAAATAAATAATTCATAAAAACTTGGCTTATTAGGCAAATCGGGCCTTGCATAGTAGGCTGAGAAGTGCGTTCTGGCTACTAGGTACGACATATATATATATATATATATATATATATATATATATATATATATATATATATATATATATATATATATATATATATATATATATATATATATATATATATATATATATATATATACTTCCTTCTTCCAAAACTCATTTTCGGAATTTCAAGGTGACGAAAAGTGAATTACTACAGAATGTATTACACTTATTTATACAATTTGCACAACGTTGTGCAAATTATATATATATTATATAAATATATTAGTATATTTTGGTAGCAGTCTTTCCTGTAGACATATATTATTAAATATCTTCTCCAAAATTAATTTTTATTTCTAGTCTGACGCGACACGGGCGCGTTTCGTAAAACTTATTACATTTTCAAAGACTTCACAAATACACAACTGATTAGAACTTGCGTTTCCCTGATTTTATATCTACATTTTGAGTGAGGTGGGAAGGGTGATGTGGCATTACATTTGAGTGAGGTGGGAAGGATGATGTGGCATTAACACAAGACAGAACACTAGAGGATATTAATAGGGTATTAAAAGTATCAACACAAGACAGAACAGAAACAATGGGTATTGAATAGAAGTGTTTGTAGAAAGCCTATTGGTCCATATTTCTTGATGCTTCTATATTGGAGCGGAGTCTTGAGGTGGGTAGAATATAGTTGCGCAATAATTGGCTGTTGATTGCTGGTGTTGACTTCTTGATGTGTAGTGCCTCGCAAACGTCAAGCCGCCTGCTGTCGCTGTATCTATCGATGATTTCTGTGTTGTTTACTAGGATTTCTCTGGCGATGGTTTGGTTATGGGAAGAGATTATATGTTCCACTGGAACATATTATATGGAACACTCCATATTATATGGAACATATAATCTCTTCCCATAACCAAACCATCGCCAGAGAAATCCTAGTAAACAACACAGAAATCATCGATAGATACAGCGACAGCAGGCGGCTTGACGTTTGCGAGGCACTACACATCAAGAAGTCAACACCAGCAATCAACAGCCAATTATTGCACAACTATATTCTACCCACCTCAAGACTCCGCTCCAATATAGAAGCATCAAGAAATATGGACCAATAGGCTTTCTACAAACACTTCTATTCAATACCCATTGTTTCTGTTCTGTCTTGTGTTGATACTTTTAATACCCTATTAATATCCTTTAGTGTTCTGTCTTGTGTTAATGCCACATCATCCTTCCCACCTCACTCAAATGTAATGCCACATCACCCTTCCCACCTCACTCAAAATGTAGATATAAAATCAGGGAAACGCAAGTTCTAATCAGTTGGATTTACCTCCAACAGTGAAGCATAATGTACGAAAGATTGAGAAAATTCGTGTTAGAATTATTAATCTTACTTTTTCGGTCATATTTAATAATATATATATATATATATATATATATATATATATATATATATATATATATATATATATATATATATATATATATATATATATATATATATATATATAATATAAATATATATATATATATATATATTTATATATATATATATATATCTATAAATATATATATATATATATATATATTTTATATATATGTCTATATAAAATATGTTGTACCTAGTAGCCAGAACACAGAACTCGGCCTACTATGCAAATCACACTGGAAAAAAATCACATTGAAAAATAAAAGAATGCTAAATGCATTTACGACCGCCAGGTCTTCAAAAAAGCCAGATAAAACCTTGAGTAGAGAGAGAAGGAATGTTTGTGGTCACCTGACACACAGGTAGCATGCAACCGACCAAGGTAAACAGGTCACCAGACCACCAGAGTGAGGATGAAGCTTTCCATATCTCATAGGGAAAGACGGGATAGTTTAAATATTGAAGACAAGTGAACATTTGAAATGCTTAAAATTTATTTCTTCCTCTCATTTTTCCAAGCAAAATTGTGGATGAAATATTAAGCATATCAATAAGAAGCGATTAAGTTTTTTATTCCAAGCCTACCAACAATCTATATACTAAGGAAAAGAGAGAAAAAATTATTATTATATTATATTCAAGGCTGTGGAATAAATTACAGTAAGGGCACTCTTTAATCCATGGAAATGAAACAAAATGAAATTCCTATCACCCTGGATCACCATAATTAACTGACTAGGAATTATCCCAACTTACTGACCAGAGTTATATAAGTCAAGGCTATGATAACTTTTTACTGTCCAATAATTTATCCAGCCAGAAATAAATGTTGATGATCATAGAGCCATAATCCAACAAATATATTAAGTATATCCTTACAGTTACTTCATAACACTCCTCCTCCTCTTCATAGTCTTCATCATCATCATCATTGTCGTCGTCATCATTCTCATCATCATCTGGATCGGGTAACTCATCATCTGTAAGCTCTGCTAAAAGTGTACTTGCTCGACAACTCTCCAGAAAATCCTGAAATATAATATTACATATTAATCGACATAATATCGTTGACATAGATTTGTTGTACTGCCTAGCTAGTTCAACAACCCATGGACCATTTTCATGTTTACGAATGATCTCGTTTTTCCTCTATGGTCATTCTCACAAGTTTTTACTTGACTTGTACCTTACCACTGGTTTTCTTGGGAACCATGGCGAGATATATAATCACAACTTTTATGTTCAAATACCCAAAAATCCGAAAAAATAATTCTTTACAAAGAATTCAGGCGTGATTGTCGCTAGGCGGGAGGCACTGGTAAACTGAGGCATGATAGCCGTGCCACCACGCACTAGGTCGGCCATACGCATATCAACACATTTCCTTCCCTGAGGCAAAGCTCATAACCCAATTCGGATTTTATGAAGAAATTGGGCTCGTAACCCAAAAAGTTCGTAATTAGGGGCATTCGTAAGCCAAAGTGTCACTGTATATCCATATCAGCCTGCATAGCTCCAGGGAGCCAAAGGGGCTCCTGCCAGAAAAGACAAAATAATACATGTATCAAAACATTTCATATAACTATCACAAAACCAGAAATAATAGAAAAACAAATGAATATGTCTCACCTCTAAACTGACTTGCTCCGAGTCACTAGATGTAGATGTGAGACTCATGGTGAGACCATGAGGGAAGGAGGATAAGTTGGTGGATGGCTGGTTAGGGGTGGAGGATGCTGCAGCACCTGTTGTTGTTGTGGAGGTAGTTGAGGTTGTGCCTGATGTCAAAGTAGGATAACTCTGAGCTGTGCTTAGTGGTCCAGATCCTGTAAGGGATGTTAAATACCCCTAACTTAGTTTGAGAGTAATGACCTGCTCTGTTAGACTACTCGATGAATTCTTATGCATGATACTTCTAACAATATTAAACACACACAAAATATGGACCCAATACAAAGGCTACAAGAATGGAAAATATGAATATGTAAATATGAGAAGAAAAACATGCACACAATTTTGGAAACTACAGAGTGACAACAACAAAACACACACACACACACATACACACAGTTGTCTTTGAGTATGAAGTCTTGGCAGACACAGTGGAACCTTGGTACTCAAACTTAATTGGTTTCTGAAGGCAAGTCGAGTGCTGATCTGTTCGAGTACTCAAAAAAAAATTCCTATAAGGAATAATGTAAATTGGATTAATCCGTTCCAGACCACAAAAAATAAATATATTAAACTGCAATACTAATGCAGTACATTAAACTCCAATAAATACATGAAATGCTGTAAATGCTAACACACTACACACCTTACCTGCACTTAGGAGACTTGATGGTCTATGTGGAAGGTGATGAGGCAGATGAAGAGATGTTATTCTTTGGCAGGGGAGTCCCCCACCATTATTACAGCTTTGTAAGTGTGATATTTTTTAAAAAACTTTGCACTGCCCCCCCCCCCCCATTTTGCACACATTTATTTTAAGATAACTAAATTTAGGCATACCAAGTTCAGTAGAAAGACCAGATAGGTGAGCACCACATTCATATTTGCTACGAGTTCTTTTTTCACCTCAATCGTGGTTCTAACTAATTTTCTTTTTGCTTGGCTCTATCACTAACATTCTTAGGTGTCATGGTGACTTATTTATACTAAGAATATACAAAATATGCGAGAAAGTTTAGAGAAGTCTAGTGGTGTTGTGCATTGATCGACAGCTATGGCAAAACAGACACGTGTTCATGTGCGAGTGCCGAGCAAATATGGTCAACTAACATGAACATGGCGTTCGAGTGCCGAAATGTTTGAGTTGGGAGATGTTTGAGTACCGAGGTTCCTCTGTATATGGAAAAAGGCTAACGGAGTTCCAATCTACAAAAATTTTAAGCAAGACCCTCTTAATTACAGACCTGTATCATAGAAGTCAAAACATTGGTAGAAATAATACAAAACAAATGGGTTGGACACCTGGAGAGAAATTACATAACAGACAGTATGGTTTTCAAATTGGCAAGATCTTGTATAATAAATCAAAATACTAATTTTGTTAGTAGAACCATAATAATTCTACTTAGATTTGTGAAAAAACGTTTACTTAGTTATTAATAGAATGATAGAGCCTCAGGAATTTTACAGGAAAGAGATGGTTGGGTTAACTGTGTTTAAAAAATGACTTGGCAGAGCCCCCCTCACATAAGAGGTTGGTCTTGAAACTAGAGCATACTACATAAGTGACAGGAAGACTTTTGACATGGCTAAAAAACTTATTGACAGAAAAATAAGGGCAGAAATCAGAGGCCCATATTGATCAGACTGGAGAAGTGTTGTCAGTGGAGTACCACAGGGTTCAGTTCTAGCACCAGAAGTGGAGTACCACAAGGTTCAGTTCTAGCTCTTTGTCTATATAAATGTTCTACTAGAAGAAACACAGAATTATATGAACATGTTTGATGATGATGCCAAAATACTATGGAAGATAAGAAAATCAATACGACTGTCATGCCCTTAAAGAAGACCTGGTGAAAATAAGTGTATGGAGCACAACTTGGGAAATGGAATTTAATGTGAATAAATGCCATATTATAGAATCTGAAACAAGAGAAAATAGGCCACGCAACCTACAAAAAGCTTTGAAGAACTCTGATAGTGAGAGAGATCTAGGGGGTAGTTCTGGAAAAAAATAAAAAAAAGTCACATGGGGATCACATAAGAAACTCTGTGCAAGGAGTGTATGCTACACTTTCTAATTTTAGAATCGCTTTTAAATATCGGAATGGCAAAATATTAAATAAATTATTCATGACCTTTGAGACCAAAATTGGAATATGCAGCAGTTGTATGGTGCCCATATCTTAAGAAGCACACCACTAAACTAGAAAAGGTGCAAAGACACATTACTAAATTTCTTCTGGAACTGAAAAATAAGAGCTATAATGAGGTTCGGTTTTGTTAAATTTGCCAATGCTAGAAGATAGAAGAGAAAGTGGTGATATGATCACTACTTACGAAATAATAACAGAAATCGACAAAATTGACAAAGAGGAAACCTTGAAACCTGCAACTTGAAGAACAAGAGGTCACAGATTCAAGCCAAGGAAACAAAGGTGCCGAAAAAAGTGTCACATGGATTCTCAGTGTCCTTTCAGTCTGTGATTACTTCTTTATGTCCTTGTTTTTGGCTTCTCTTGCTTCCAGTTGTCAGATGGGTGAGCTTCATAATGATCTCCTGCAGTTGGGGTTTTGTTCTTTTCACCTTGGCGAGTGGTTTGATCATCTGCAACTGGCCCCTCTTTTTCAAACAAAGAGTTGGTTTTCACAGGGGTCATTTTGGTTATTTATGTTTGGTTGGTTTGGCCTGGGGTGCCCTGGAGGTGCATCACGTATTATGTCCGATCGCGGCTCGGCACCATTACCTTCATGCCACCGATTCTGCATAAGTGGATGCTTTGTAAGTCTATTCTTTCCATTTGGTCACCCTATTTGAAGGCTCATATTTTTCAGGTCATTTGCAGTGTTAAGTCTAGCCAGCCTGCGGTCTACATAGTCAGTGCCCATGATGTTTGGAAATATGCTTTAATCTTGGGTGTGTTTGTGAACATGTTCTAGCCCGATATTCAGGTGCACAGGTTCTGGAGGTCGAACAACGGTCTGGTTCCAACGGCCTGGTATAGTGATGCGCTCGGGCCCCGGCACACTTGTGTGGCTTTGGGCTCTCTCTCCCTAGTCTCACCTTCATCTTAGTTTGTGCAGTGCTCCCTCCTCCTCCTAATGAAGAGAGACCCACATTGTTCCGGACTTCCCACTCTCTCTCAGGAGGAGGGATGTGAGGGATGGTGCGAGGAATGGACCTATGTACAGAGAACCCAGAGGGAAAGAGGGGGTAGTCATGCCAAACACTGCAGGCACCACCATCCCAAATAAGGAAATCTCTAATGCTAATGTGCTGTACCTCATGTGCCGTTCATAGACGACTTATGTACCGATAAGCGGTCAGGGTGTTGTAAGTGGCAGAGCAGCATCCTCATTGCAATCCACTAAGACTGTGTCACTAAGGCTGGAGGTTCCCACCCCACCCCACCCCTGATGATGACAAACCTCTGATGAGAGCCTTGATGCTATGTCGGCAACATTTGGCTCATACTGCACTAAAATGTCTAGGAACAGCCACTAAAGCAAAACACCCTTCAGATGAAAAAACAGGACACCGTAGCCAGAGTGACATAGATGTCACTGCACACTCACTACTGTCAGAATAGAACCAAGGGTGGAGCACCCGGCTGACCCCAGGCTGCCTCCGTCCCTTCCTTCCCCAAAATGAGGAGGAAGCGAACAAGCTAACACTACTATAGTTTAATTAAATTTTGATTGTTTACATTGTTGGAAAAAATTCTTTTAGCAGTTCTTGAGGCTGTAGTCTAGCTTATAGCCAGCAATGGTCTGTTTTGTTTTGCTGACTTTCTGGGTGCTTCTCTGTTGGTGAAGACACAAATAAATTCAAAGTAATTTGACCACAAGTGCTACCACTTCCTGCACCTCCTTAGAGGAAGCTAGGTTGCCCTACCAGGCTCATGGTCCCTGATAGGTCAATAGAATCAACGACTGATTGCACCTATTAGTATGGCACTATCAAAGATAGTAGTTTCAAGGAGTCATAAGGAGGGTTCCCTCCCCTAGAAATACATAACACACAATATAAATGCATTTCATATCAAACAAGGAAAATTATCTTTTGTCAGGAAATTAATTGAATACATCTTCATATACCTAATACAAATACACTGTCATACATGCATTAATGAATTTCTTGAATTTAAAAAACAGCATTGAATGTAATGAAACACCTCTTTCTGGATGAGCCCCAGTGGCTACCTTAAGCTATTTCACCGAAATTGCTCCATGCAAATGGGTCACATCAGATGCTCATGTTCTGTTTCCCCTACTGGGGTCCCGAGACAAAAGCTGGAGCCCTCACAGAGGCACAGAGAGCAAGTGACAATTCACCACCACATTGGGAAGGCATCCAGAAAGTCAGGGAGCTTTATGGACAACTGGAGGGCCAACAAAGAATGTCTTTGAAAGCAAAAACAAAATTCTGCAAACAATTCACACAAAATAAGAGGAACATAAATTAGCATGAAACTAATGGCACAGAATGCTACCCCCAGGCAGCTTGGCTTCCACATGCAGCAATCTTCCTTGCCAGTACTGAAGAATGTGAACAGTACACAGATGAACTAACAAACCCTGATAAGGAGGGAAGGAGTAAGGGCTCATCCAAAAAGAAATGTTTCATTGCATTCAATGATGGATTTCTCGGGGAAGCTCTCAGTGACTCCCTGAAGTAAACTAACCAGAGGACAAAACAGAACTTACCAAGGAGGAGGAGAGGCAGCATGCACTAGGAGGAGGAAGAAAAGAATCCAGGCCGGAAGACATAGCCCAAGGAAACACATGACCAACCGGAACCAGGGACATCAACCAAATAAAGACTTCTAGAACCATGTTAAGAATGGCAATACCCCTGAGTCTGAGTATCAGCCCAGGACATGTTGGAAAAGGCTACAGTCAGTGCAGTGTACCTGCAAACATACTGGCCCCGAGGATAGAACACAGGCTGGAATGATTTGACGAGAGTGCAGATGACCTCGGAAAAACGAGCCTTGGAACAGGGGACCAAGGAAATGGGTCAACTAACAAGGTGTCCACCAAGGCAGAACTGGTGACCCAGGTAGCAGCAAAGAGATGCCACTGGACTCAATAAGTGTTGCACACCTGGCCGAACCAACCAAGCATCATTCACCAACAGACCCCTTTGAAAGCT